AGTTTTGGAAGAAGGTTCTTGTGGAACAAAAGGGTTGAAGAGATCAGAAAAACTCATCAGAGGAAGGAAAAGTCAAGGGTTTCTCCTCATGTTGATTTTAAAAGTACTCAGTGTTCCAATCTATGTTCTGTTCTATGTTATAGCAACTGATGATGATGATGAACTTGGTGCCTTCACTCAGTTTGCTTTTGGGTTTGTTGCAACAGTTTTTTTCTGCCTAGCTAAGTTCTTTGACTCTGTGGTTTTTACTGTGTTCTACTATGAATGTAAGCAGAGTAAGGGAGAGAGAATAGAGATGGAGTTAGGAGTTGGGGATAGTTTAGTTCCACAGAAACTCGATGTTGAATTCTAATTCACTTCTAGGTTTTGGGGAAGTTTTATGTTTGTTGTAAATTCTTACATATGCAGAGATAAATAAAAAGCATGAAGGGATTCTAGTATTGATTCAATACCCTTACTTCCCACTGTTTGTTTTGTATTTCAAATTCAAAATACAATCTCTCCCTTGATGCAAGAAAATGACCATTTTCAGGATCTGTATGTACTAAGATAACAGGGCACAGATGGTTGGGACAATCACTTTTATGCATAGACAACAGAGGACGGGTCTAAAATAGAGATCTTAGAGGTTAAGGAAACAAGTAAAGCAATCGTGTGTAAAGACTAGTGATAATCAAGTGCATTTTTAGTTTAAGAATTTGAACATACTTTAGAATGACTAAAAATGGTTACGATGTTCGTTACGACAGCCTGAGAACTGCAAGCAACATATGAAAACTTGCCGATCGAATACACAACTTCAACAAACTTGTCTGAATTATTGAATTAATCTTGAACCATCAAAGGTATGGACAATAAAAGCTCAACAAAGAATTGTCATTTAGGGCATCCTATCATAGTAACTCACAAAAATTATGAGAAAAAGTGACTTGTTACAATCCCTTGACTGTTATCTGCTTTAATTGTTTCACCTTCTTAAAATTCACCGTCTGATAGTTCTTTTCCACCTCCCAAGCAAGTTGTGACATACCATTGAATGAGGACTTGGCACCCTTTACATCTGTCACTTCTCTCGGGAAAGGAATTCGGACATCAAATGTGCCTTTCTGAGGAGAGCAAAGGCGCATGTCAAAGCCTAACCTATCAACCCATATCATCTTCGCTTCTGATGCCTGTCAAGCCAATTCAAATTTAAGGAAAGGTAATCTAGTTAAAAAAAGACCTTCGTGAAGCTTCAATATGTTGGAATAAGGATGAACTGGGCACGATTTTTTTGCACTGATTTCTTGTGTCATCAAAATGCATTTTCCCCAAAAGGGTTTTATTCTTGTTTTTGTTATATCATGCAAATACTTTCTCTCAAGCAAGTAGTTGTACAAATAATTTGCAGATGGCAATGAAGATGAGAATTTTGTTGGCAGCAAACCTGAAAGTCCAAATCAACATATACATTGCAAAAGCGGCTAAGATCTTCCATGTTCTTGTCGTTGATCTCATTGACAAATGCTTCTGCAAAGTCTCGGAGTGGATCGGGGCTTGCATTTTTATAATCAGATGATGAGACCCATACACCATCCTGAAATAGTTACAGAGGTTAATATTTTCCTATAATTATATAAGCCAAAAGCAATTACCATCTAAAGACAGAGCAAAGAAATCAGAATTCAGCAAGAATTACATATTAACACAACCAAACAGAAAGCAAAACCCCATCATACCTCCATGAAGTCTTCCATCTGAAGTATCCGCTCCATGGCCACAACATAAATAAGTTCATCCTTAACTTCTTCTCCAAATCTCTTTTTCCACCTTGAGTGAAGCCACTGGAAAAAAAAAAAAAGAGGCAAATTCCGGCAAAACTTATGGGCTCAGAGATCATAGCACAACAATAAACAGAGAAAATAAAGCACACATTCAGTTAACTGGACATCATGCTGATAAGAATCAAAATCTGCTAGCTTCCATGCTGCATTGTGCTTAGACCTAAGTGCTGCAAATTAATCAGCCCAAATTGACTACTGTGTGGCCCATTTTTCCCAGTTCCTGAAAGCCATTGGGCACGTTGGAGCCAAGATTGATGAGATGACGACAAGAATCAAACTCCCTCCATGGCATCAGTAACCAGGGTAGGACTACAAATCAGATCCTGGTTTTCCATTTGAGAAAAAGTCAATAGTCACTCTCAAATCAGAGTGAAACTAGGAATTCAATCAAATTTTTGCATTCAACATCTTAGCTGGTCAATTAGCTTGACTACCTTGCTCCTCCAGGTCAAATTAGGTTCAAAAACAAGATGGTAGAATCTACATTCTCAAAATAATAATAATAATAATAATAATAAAAGATGGTAGAATCGCAGCTTATAGAAAGAAGGGGATATAGATGGGTTCCCACTAAACTTTTATCAGAGCTAAACAATTGAAGCATGACATGTAAACATGAAAGATAAACCACACATATGGTTAACTGGACATCATGTGTGTCTAGGATACATCAAAATCTACAGGTACTTTGCTATTTTTGTGCTTAACCAAGCTCATACTAACATCCATGAAATACATACAGCAAATTAATCAGTCCTGATTATGGCAAGCCTGTTTTCCCCAAACCCGGAAAGCACCCTTACTACGGGATGCACAAAGCCCTGCTCTAGGCAGCAATGATGAGCACTGAGCAGATTGATAGAAACGAAAACTTCTTCAATGAAATTGGCAACCATGAGGATAGGACTACCACACATCATGTCCAGGTTCTCCATCTGAGTAAAAATCAATCTCCCGACCTCTTATCAGGGCCAAACAACTAACTTGATCACTTTTTTGCTGCTAAAGCAGCTAGACTTGCGGCCCCTCAAGTCCAAAATAGTTCCTACAGGATACCCTCAACTTGCAGCGGGAAGGTGGTAGTGATCCGTATCCAAATAAACTCCCACTGCAACTTCTATTTAATCAATTATTCAACTACAGGGATTCTCACCTTATAACTACATATTTTTATTCCAGAAAAAGAAGAATATAACTTACTGAAAACACTTCCGTTAATCCCAATTACTTCCACAAACTATATGTTAATAATAGTCAATAGCATCTCATTATTAGCAGACAATCCATACTCCATTGAGAAAATTGTACCAATCTTTCAAAACCAATAATCAAATTCACTTCAAAGTCTTGACCTTTCAGTGTAATGTTCTACCAGAAACTACTAAAAACCATCTAAACCCACAGTACTTATAACACAGCAATCACTACAAGCAACCAATAAATGAAGAAAAAAAAAAAAAACCATTTTTTTTACCTTTAAAACCTCTCTGTCCTCGGGCTTGTCAAGGCTGCCTTGAATTGTGCACTGAGGAGTCCTCATTCCAGATTGCTCTAACTAATCCCAGCCCAAAAAGAAAAATAGAAAAAAAAAACCCATTAACAACTATCTAAATACTCACATAAAAACATGTTTAATACAGACTCTATCTTTTTCCATTTTGAAGAATAAATGAATTGAGTTGAATTACCTGAACATGAAGACTAGACCTTTTATCGACAGAAAACTGTCTATAAGAATCACTCAAGCACAAAACAGGAGTCCCATAATCATCAACAGCAAACCTAACACCAACACTCAAAGGCCAACCTTCATTGGTCAGAGTAGAAAGAGTGCCAACTGAAGATAACTCCATGATGGTTCTTGAAACTTCAGCAGGAAAGGGCTTATCATTTGAAGATCCAACAACATGAGTAGGTGGCTCAGCTGATACAGTTGAAAGAGAGCATTTTAAGGAGAATTGGGAAATTGGGTTTTGCTGCTTTAGAGGTGTGAATTGGTGGGGCTTTATTGCTGTTGTTGGTTTTGGGAGGAAGAGAGAAGGAATGGGTAAATGAGTGGTGAGAGATTGGGTTTGGAGATGCATTTGTGACTTGTTAGAGAGAGGACAGCCTGGGTTTTGGAGTTCAAGAACTTATTTTCTGTACAAAGCTTGATGATCAAACAATGGACAGAAAGGAGTAACAGTAATTTGAGAGAGCAGAACAGAAGACACTGATGGTGTTGATAATGAGTTCGGTCCAAGGAGAGGATGGTGGGCAAGTTTCTTTTAACATTCACCACCCCAATATTCTGTAAAATTGCAAAATCCCCTTTTAGGTTCTGTAAAATTACATTACTCATTTTCTCTTCCAAGAACATGAAGCAATCAGCAATTAGCATAACTTCAGCAAAATCATCACTTTAAGATTTTCTCGTCTTCACCTTTTTCCTTTTTCTAATGTTTAAACATTGAAATATATATTGACACAAATGGGCGCTTTCCTTTCTCTAATGTTTAAGTTTCCTTTCTCTAGCGTTAAATATGAATTCTTTTGAATTCTTCATTCAGACAATGATTAAGAAAATTTATTTTTAAAAAAAATTTTGGATTTAAATATTAGAATCAATATTTATATAAAAAAAAATTTATTAAATTCTTTTGAACTTATCAAAATATTAAATTCTTATGAAAATACTAAACCGATTTCTTAAAATTATTCAAAAAAAAAAAAAAAACTTAGTTTCGTTGACATATAAACTCGTCTAAAGATAACCTTACCGTCCGATTACAGAAAAAAAAGACATTAACCAATGGCTATTGGCTAATCTATAAAAATTAAAAATTCTTTTTTTCTTTTTGAGAATGAAAAAGGGCAAATAATAAAATGTTGAATTTGTGATAATTAAAGAAAGATATGGTAGTGAAGCTTGGAATTCTGCAATGTGTATACACATGAAACTCGTGTTCCTCCCTTGTGATGTTACAATTTATAGATGACAAGAAGCCAAATTCAAGATTCAGTCACAGAACTAGAAGGGCATTACAGAAACTACACCTTTTTCTTCTTCCCTGACTATCCATGACAGTGCCGATTTCAAAACCTTGGCATGGATATTTTCTAGCGATTCTACTTAAGGGCTCAAGATCTGATCTGCTGCTCTAGATCAACAAAGTACAGGAAATAAGCAAAAAAATTCTAGGGATATTCTCTAGGTGGGCCATAATCTTTAACCATCAAAATCTCATCACATAACTTCTGAGGAACTTGCTGTAATTCCTTCCCTTCTTGCCATGCTTGCCCCACTAGCACCCCAGGTCCAACATGACGAACATACATGACAACCTGATCATCGAAAGGATATGGATGTTTTTCTGCAAAGTAAAGAAACTCTTTTAGACTGGTTCAAACATTATGCGGTCCAAGGAGGGAGAGTTAAATAGGACTAACACATTATATCATCAAATAGTGCTATAAATAATTGTCAAAAATTATGTCTATTGTAAATTTTATTTTTCAGGTAAGCTTATGGTTACTTCCATTAGCAATAATTGAGATCAAAATTCTGCAAAGGTGAGAGTAACATTATTTTATAGATATCTATCAGGGAATCCTGGGTCCATTGGCATGATATTGTTAGATGCACATGCAAATCAGTACCATATGAAGTCAAAACAGTGATGAGGAGGAGAGACTCCATCAACTTTTTCACAACATTACAATTAGAAACTAGTCATCTGAAACTATAAATCTTTTGCAGCATTACAATTCTTAAATAAATCCCACCTGGTCTTGGAAAGCCTTGAGGATAATCACAGAGATCCAAGTGCCCATCTCCAAATTCATAGGCTAAATCACAGGGCTGCTCCGTAGACATTACTTCCCTCTGCTCTGCGACCTTAAAGTATAATGGACTAAAGGTTTTTCTGATTTGAGCCAGCACCGATCCACCTGTTTAAGCATCATTGCTATCAGTTGACTAAGATTAGGATTAAGCTAATCTACTTTTTAATTTGACAAATACATACACTGCACACAGAGACAGTTGAGTGCTTTTGAATCCAAAAGCTAAAGAGCATGATTTTTTAAGAATATCCATTACAGATGTTGATAAAAGAAGAAATTTTTTAGGCAACTGATCAAGTCCCAAACAACTTAGAAACAAACCATAGTCTGTCATGCACATCACAAAATTGATAAGCCCCATTCCACTCCTCCAAAGCCCCACCTCCCCCGCCCCAAGCAGTTTAAGTTAGATATGAATCTGATTATAGATAGGCATAGCAAATTTTCAAATATAGAAAACTTTGCTTCTTCTATTTCTTCACCACATCTCTCCATTTTCTGCCTTCCTGCCGTCCCTTAACCCCTCCACTCCAGCCCTCTACCAGCTTACAACTAATAAGCACACACACAGAGACAAACAATTGAAGCCTTCTTTACAACATACAAAACAGTATACACGGTAAGGAAAAGACAGCTGAACATACCAATAAATCTCCCATAAACCTCCCCATTACGGCAACGAAATATAGCCTGAAATGGAAAAAACAAATGCATCAATCATCACAAACATATCATCATATGCAAGAAGCAAGGAACAAATTATAAACACAGAAGAACTTTAGAACTCACCATCTTGAACTGTTTCATCCAAGAAACATCCAAACCACCTAGTCCACAACATTCCACATCAAAATCACATTATCACCAAAACTTCACAGTTCACACTCCACACACACACACACACTGACACACCAACATAACCAAAACAAAGAATTCAAAGAATTTACCTCCATTACTTCTACAACTGAAAAACTCAACTGACACTTCACCATCTTCACAACACAACAAGTCAGACCCACATTTCTTTGCTAACTTAGCATCCTCATATCTCATGCCAGCTATCTCCCAAGCTCTTGATATTAGCCTACACATAAATTAATCCCATTTAAACCAAACCCAAGGAAAAAAAAATTCAAACTTTTACAACCCTTTATAGTAACCATCAAATTCTTAAACTTGAAACACACACACCAAAAAAAAAAAAAAAAATAGAAATACTACCTAGGTTGTTTTATCAAAGACAATAATCTAAGACGCCTTTCTTCTGGAATATCCTCAATTTTACTCCTGCAACAATTCGAAATCAAATGATCAGACAGTGGGCTGCGGCAACATGTAGTTGGTAAAGTAAAAACACATGTCTTTCACTGAAACTAACCAGAGGTAAGCAGCTGGATTGTAAGTGTCCGGGTCAAGAGGGATAAGCTCCTTAGGTGGGTCAAGAAATGTGACTACATCTTCTTCCAGTATCTCATATGGCTTCTCATCCCAGATAGATGACAGGCGTCTTCTCTCAACGGCCCTGATTGCACTGCTACAGGAAGAGGAGGATAACAGTGGAACCTTGGAGATTGTGAAGCTGACATGTGGCAGTTGGTGTAGGTGAGGGCGGAGGAGATGGTTGTTTTTTGGAGTTGGTGAGTAAAAGAGATTGTGTGAAGTTGTTGCCTTCATCTTGCTCACAAAGAAGCAGAAACAATGGTGGGTTTTTGAAGGTTCCCTTTGAGCTTGCTACTTAAAAAAATGCTTCTTTTTTTTTTTAATCATGTTAATCAGTTTAATATGCTAATTATGTTAAATTGAACCTTATACTGTAATAATGTGTAAATTGTAATCAAATCCTGAGACGTTGATTTTTGAGTAAATTATAAATTAGTGAATTAATTAATTTTTTAAAAACAAAAAAAACCTAATTATGTGGTCTTTGTATTTTTATTTTTTCTTATAAATTAACCTTTTTACTTTTTTCAATTTATTTTCATTTTTTGTTTTAAGAAAAAGAAAAGAAAAAATGAATAAAAAACTGAAAAGTTCGATAAGAGAAAATGCCTTTTTTAAAAATAAACAACATTCAATTAAACGTGATGATGGATACTTTTATCAAGAAATGAAATAATTATTTTTTTAAGAAAAAAAGATTAATTAATTTGTTTATTAAAAAATAGAAAGATTAATTTATAATTTACTCTGATTTTTTTTTTTTGCAAATTACCTCCTTCAATTTATTTTGTTACTACTCAAAATATTCATTCCTATTTAAAATAATGTTAAAATGGGATAGAAAGATGTAAATTGTTAAAAAAAATAATAATAAAAATAAAGGGGGGAGGGGGGGTGTTGGTGGTGGGGGCTAAGGATTTAATCAACATTTTTCTTAGTATTAGGCTCAATGGTATAGAAAATGGAGTAAATTATAAATTTGTTATTCCAATTTGAGAAATTAATTAATTAGTCTTCTCTATTTTAAAAACTAATGATTTAGTTTTTTGTCCATTTATATATATTTTTTAATTTTTTTTTTGTTTTCTAAAGGAAAAAATATAAATAAAATAGATATTATAAAAAAAAATTGATGAAAAAAGAAGACATGTTTTGAAATAAAATAATATTAAGTTAAGCATCATCAACAAATGTTAATAAATTAAATAATTAATTTTTTTAAAAAATAATTTATTAATTTATTAAACATTTAAGGACTAATTTATAATTTACCATACAGAAGTGGCATAATGAAGGAACGAAGAGTGCTTACCAAAAAAAGTAACTGAAAAAGGCTAGAGGCCGACATATCGTTGTTATAGTAAAAAAAAAGCGTGGAGTAAATTATAATTTGGTCCCTAGTTTTTGATGATTTTGTATTGTAATCCCACACGACACGAGACCAAGCATAAGCTCCCGGAGTACTTGGCAGTAGCTTTTTTGGCAAAAAAAAAAATCATTGGGCCATTGCTAAGCCCACAAGAGAAACTAGGTCAGCTCAAAATACAGTATGTTAATTTGTGGGCTAAAATTTCATTGGGCCAAACTAAGCCCACAAGAGAAACTAGGTCGGCGCAAAACATAGTAGGGGAGTGATGCCGTGATGGCATCATTTCTTGATAGAGAAACCGAATAGCGAGAAGAAGAGAGTAATAGCGATGGCGTCGAATGCAGCAGTGCCGTTTTGGAGGTCCGCTGGCATGACTTACATAACATACTCCAACCTCTGTGCCAATCTTGTCAGGCAATGTCTTAAAGAGCCATACAAGACTGAAGCTCTCTCGAGGGAAAAGGTTCATTTTTCTCTTTCCAAGTTTGTCGATGGAAATCCTCAGAAACCAGGTAAGATTCTACTTTTCTTGTATAAAACCGTCCGTTTTATTTCGTTTTTAGATCTGGGGTTTTTGGATTCTGGGCCGATGTTGTTTCTTTCTCCTGATTTTGTGAATTTGATTTGATTTTGTTTAAGTTTGCGATCATTGTTAATCACCCTTTGATCTTGTCGGGCTGAATGGATTGCTGTCTCTAAAAATTCAGTCAGAATTAGAATTTGGGTTACAAAATGAGTGTCAATTTCTTATTATTATATTTTATTGAAATTTGGGCTTTTTATAAGAACTATGAGTCTTTAGTATGTGATGGATTTGGTTCTTTTGGTCTTAGGAATGCTGATGTATGTGATTCGATAAGGTGTGTTTTGATATGTCCTAAGTTTTGTAAGATCAAAGGGCTCTGAGCATTAGGCAGGTTTGATCTGCTAGTTTCAGTTTTGGTGAAATTGCTTGCACGTTACCTACTCAGAGTAGTTGTCGTTGATGAATCTGGTCATTAGAACGATCACTTTGCCAGGTTTGGAGGAATCTTACTTTCTTCCACGGTTTGGCAAAAAGTGATTCTTATTTCTGTTATGATGTGAATAAGCTAGCTGTTCCAGACTTCCAGGGCCCTTGTTCAGAACCGTATTTTCTACATTAGTGAGTTTGACTAGGGCTTTGGTAGTGATATTAGGACGCTTATAAATTGGATGGAGGAGTTGAAATTTCACTGATGATTTTAGAAATGCTGTACTATCTTTTTTCACTTATTCAGGTTACTTTATGGAATGGATGGTTTAAACTAGTGTTTATTGCATTACATGGTAGGGGGAAGGAATCACTATGGCCAGTTATTCGTGTTGTACACTATCTATTGAATTGTTTTGAGTGTTTTTATGTACAGTTTGGTACCCAAAAGCAAAATTATTGCACTTTTGATGTGGCTTTCTTTGACTTGGAAAATAGAAAGATAGAGTTGCAAAAACAATGTATTGTTTGTTTCTCTAAACTATTTATTCCTCATGGTAATCGTATCCTCATTTACCTGCTTCTAATTGTATACTAGAGAAGATATTGGAGTGATGTACCTTAAATTGAAGATGGAGTCCAATTGTGTATTGGTATTTCTGTCGAATCTTGGAACACTATCAGTTCATTGCCTTCTGACAACTTAGTCATCTAATAATATTGGAATACTATCGGCTCTTTGCGTTCTGACAACTTAGTGATCTAAGGACGGCTGCTATGGCCTTACCTTCTCAAGAGAAAATGTTATTTATGGTCTTCTTCCTTTTTGGCCCTCCACATGTGTATACTTCTGCACATTAGCCTACATTCTTAACCTACTTTTCATCATTACCTTTGAGTTAAATCAGCTCTCAACTGTGCATTCTGATGAAAATTATTTTGGTTTTCTTTAACAGTTATTCGTTCAGATTCTCCTACAGAATGAGTTGAGGAGCTCCGTCCCTTAAATGCGTAATGGAGGATCTTTTGTGATGAACTTTTTTCTATTCCTCTGTTCGGTATATTGGAATTCATTAGGTATGCAAGGCATAATTTCAGACTAGACATTTGGGCTGGGACTGAAATTGTAATAAATGTAACTGGTATTATCCACTCTTTTGACTATTCTGCGTCATTTACCTTTCTTTGAGAATCTGTATGAAACAATCCCGTGTTTTGAAGTCGTAATGGCCGAACTTTCGTTAGCTTACATCTGAAGATGAAGAACGGTGTTTATATCCATTGGATTCTCTTATGAGTGCAGCCATGCAGGATGAGGTATTGATCCTGTTGCAGAACAAGGAAAACCCTTGTGATGTTAATTTTCAATTTTTTAAGTAAATCAATGCCAGTGTAGACATTTACTCGAAGTTTGCAAGGCTCTGATTTTCGAAGCCATGCCAAACTTAGTCAAAGAGCTCAGTCTTGCGTATCAAAGCAGCTTTCGGTTATGGATGTGGAAATGGTCGCAAAAGAGAAAAAAATTATAATACTTAAGGAATAATTAGTGTCAGTTATCTCATAAAGAGAGATAGATATAAAAAGAAGAGAGAATTTAAAAAAAAAAATTGATTTTAGGTGAAAATTTTCTTATTATTTTTAATAGATGGTGTGATTTTTTTTTTTATGTTTATTTTTTAAAAAAAATGGACTCATAGAATAATTATTATACATATACATTAATTACTCCTTCAGTATTATAAAATTTCTTGTAAAATAATTATATTTTTAGTTTTTTTAATAACTAAAAAATATAAATTATAATATTTTTTAAATTGCAAAATTAGATTGATAAGTTATTGGGTAAAATTTACCTTTTTCTCGTACTATTCAATATTATTTATTTCATTTTAATTCAATCAAATAATGTATTAGTGAAAGTTAAAACAAATCGTCTTTGCCAAGCGCTTGTTCTTGTATTGGTTACATGTTTGTTCCAATGTGTGAATTTCACCCTTGAGTTATTATAAGGAGAGTTTTTTTTTTTTTAATTATCTCATCTAATTCTTGACAAATAAATATTTTTAAAAAATTGGATTTCAGACATTAGTATTAAAGTAGCTTTGTGATGGCAGGAGACCATGTCATATGGTACAGACGATAAACAAGGCCATGAATGTGGAAGTAGTTGCAGGCTCTTTCAGAGGCCCAAAATTTAATGGGCCTGAGATCCAAAGATACTGGAACCCTTTTCTTTAGTTGTTTTTGTTCTTCTTTTAATGTACAAAGAATCCTAAAATCCGAAAAGAGTAAATAACAAATTAGTCCCTGGTATTTCGAGAAAAAAAAATTAATCTTTATTATTTGAAAAATAATAATTTATTTTTTTATATTTTAATTATGTTAAAAACTTAATTTTTTAATCAGTTTTCATTATATTAGTGATTTTTTTTTTCAAATTGCTTTTTTTTTATATCTTATTTCTCTTTTTCACTCATTCTATTTCTCGTTCCTTAACCAAAATTAAAAGAATGGCAATTTGAAAACAAAAATCAATAATCTAATGAAAAACTAATGAAAGGCCTATGTTATCGATGAAACTAAAACATAAAGATTAAATAATTAATTTTTTAAACAAAAGTCGCTAATTCATTCATGTTTTCTAAACGAGAGGGACTAATTTATGATCTACTCCATTCGAAGATTAAAGCTTTGGTTAAGGATAGAGATTAAAAAAAAAACCTTGCTTTTTGAATGGGACTTTTCCAAAGCCACCCACCTACGAAGCAACCATAAATTTTTTAAAACCATGATATTGAGGATATTATAAAATAATAATAATCATAGTATTTCAGTCAATATTCATTCCCTTGAGGGCCTCTTTTGTTGTCAATTTCTTGACCTCTTTATGACCTACAATAATAAGATCTACTTCCTAATTTGAATCTTTCCATTTCACGTGTGAGAAGGAGGAAAGAAACTATCATTTTTTAGCAACTTCTTGATTCTTTTATTTATTTATTTATTTAATAAGAGGAAGTGTCATTTTTTTATCAAAGAAATCCAAATACAAGAAGCAGAGAAGGCAAAGAGAGCTATGGCAATGGCATCCAATAAAGCAGCAAATTTTCGACAAACAATGTGTTTGTTTTGCATGGGATGGATGTGGCTTGATAGCTAAATTTCTGGGCTGAAAAAAATAGATGATTGTAGCAGTGTATAATTTTTTTAACCTTGGATTGGAAAAGAGATGGATCCAATTGAAAAAACCATGACATTGGGAGTAAATTATAAATTAGTCTCTCTAATCTTCGCATACATGTTTATCCCATGTAGCTTCTTTCCAAAACAATGTTTAAATCGCTATGTCTATTGTACGGATCCGCATTATCCGACAAAAAAATTTGTTATCTTAAGACCGTTATGGTTACAGCCACTGTTCACAGAGGTTTCGGTCCCTTGTCATCAAATCATAAAAAACAATGGTGTTTTTGATAAACAATCACCCTAATTAGTTAATTTAAGGTATAGGACTTAGGATTTTTCAAAATAAATTAAACAATCCCTCTAATTTTAAAAACTAATCAATTAATTCATATCTCTATATATTTCTAAATCTACTCGTAACTTAATTTTTTTAGTTTTTTTCAATTTATTTTGTTTTTTCTAAATAGAAAAATAAAAAAATAAAAAAATGAAAGAATTGATGAGAAAAAAAGATAGTTTTTAGAATAAAATAATCAAATGAACTAATTAATAAGTTTTCAAAGCACCGATTATTATTTAATTCTTTTTTTTTTTTTTTGATACTAGGCTAACTTGTATTCACCACGATTAATCCCTGGACTTACTAAACACTCGCAAGCTCGAGTAGGTAGGTAAGGCACCTGCAGGGGTGATAGGCATACGCGAGAGAGTCGAATTCGGATGGTCATCGGGACAAACCCTCAGCCACTAGGCTACGACCTCAAGTGTTAATTCTTTTTTTTTTTTTAATTGGAAGTACTGGTTTATAATTTACTTTGATAGTGAGGATGTTATAAAATAAGTTTCGGTTGCAACCACTGGATCTGGCAGACCAAACTCATCATCCTTTCCCACCAAAAAGTTCCATTCCCTTCTGAATTTGTCACCTGCTACTGTTTCTTTACCAACAGAGCACTAGCATTTCTGTCTATTCTAGGTTATTAAATTTATAGTGTATGGTTCGTGCCTGTGGTGCAGCTGAACCAATATAGTGTACAAGAGTCGAGACAGCCAAAAACAAAAAAAGAATAATTGGTCTAAATCTTTTCTCAACTTTAAGTCCACTGAGAATTGTGTTTTTAATTTTAAATTTCGAGTTGATTTTTTAAAATTTTTTATTTGAAAATGGATTGCTTTATTAGTTTTAATATGCAAGGTGTAGCTTTTTTTTTTTTTTGAACCGTTAAAAATATATCAAATTTTATGGATATTTTTTTCCAATACTTATTTATTTTTGCCTAAATGCTAAGAACTTAGCAATTAAATAATATTTTAGAACCCAAAAAATAATTTTTGAAAAAAAATTTTATAATTTTTGATATATTTTTAGTAATGTAAAAGATTAGATTGAATAATTACAGACAATTCTTTTTTAGAATTGATGAAAATTTAATAAAATGATTTAATTTTATATGAAAAATAATTTAAGTGGAGTTCAATCTAAAATTATAAGTTAAAAAACTGATTATCAAATAAATTAAAATTCAAAAAGAAATAATGATTTAGCCAAAATATATATATATATATATATATATAAATGTCATCTTTCTATTGCAAATTATACTGCACCTCTTTCATTTGCGTTTGGAAGTTTCTTCTTTTGTTTTGTTTTTATTTTGATGTGTGTTTGTGTTGAAATGGTATTATATTGAAGGTTTATGATTTTACTATTTTTATTTCAAAATTATTTTAAAAAATATAGATCATTGAATTTATAAGAATTACTAATAAAATCTACTTATTAAATACACAAAACACTCATCGAATGATAAATATTTTCTGATAAATAAATTTTGTAAAACAATTATATATATATATTACTATTTTCAACCCAACATATCTTCTTTTTTTAAAAAAAAAACACCAACATCGCTTTATATATTATGTGTTGATTAGCTGGCCAATAAGATATTCTCCAACGATTTCTTTAATGCTGTTGCTCTTATCCAATCATGAAACTGCCAAGTCTATGGTGATTTCAAGGCAATCATTCTCTCATTTCCATGTGAGAATTTTTTTTTTAGTCAATTTTAATGGCCTCTAATTCCTATAATATGTTTGCTTTCCAATAGGAATCTTGCCATTTTCATTTAAAGGAGATGGAAAAAAAAAAAAAAAAAAAAAAAAACCACCATTCATTGCATTGCATTGTAAATTAGTCCTTTTGGTTTAGAAAAATAAATTTATCCTTCTCGTTTAAAAAACTAATTATAAATCCCCATATTTTATTTTTTTAACTTAATTTTTGTTTTAAGAAATAAAAAAATAATCCTATTAAAAGATGGTTAATGCTTGGATTAATTGCCAAGAATGTCTGGATTCTAATTATTTATTACAGGTGAAAAATGACATGTCTTGGTCTTGGCCGTTTATTTATAGCATTATTTGTGGATTAGATGTCACAAGTCATAGCCCTCTTTAGAAGAATTATAAGTTAAGTTAACCTCTTTTTTATAATTTGTACTATAAAATCATTAAGAAAAAATTAATTTTGTCAAACAGGAAATCAACAAAATAATTAATCTCGGTCAAGATAAATACAATTTATCAACAAAAAAAAAAAATTCAAAATTCAAGCTTCTAAGTTTTACCCAAAATGAAAGTATTACTAATATTCACCTATGTTCGGTAAAACAAATATCAGTTACAGTGGTTAAAATAACTTCAAAGTTCAAACAGACAACAGTCGCAGTCAAATAAAGGCTCCCTTCTCTCTCTCAAAATTTTTACAGTGGCGTAAAAATAAAAAAACAGAAAGAAAGAGCAGAGGCGTGTGCTGTTTCTTCTCCAAAAATTCTTCCCTTCTTCTTCTTCGTTCTACCAAACGCTCTCTCTCTCTCTACCTCCTTCTACGGCACCAATCATTTCTCAATTCCTAATTTACCCTCAGATCTACATCCGAATTTCTCTTCATCGGCCGCCTACACCTGCCGTTATAGGATTTTTTATCCGATCTTAATAAATAATGGCTTCAGCAAAGACGAGTAGTCGTTCACGAGGGACGCCGGTGAAGGAGAATGGCCCCAAGCTAGAGGAAGGACTCAAAGTCTTCAAGTCTGATAGATTCAACGCCGATTCTTATGTTCAGTCCAAATGCTCTCTCAACGAAAAGGTTCGTTGACTACTATTTCTTTCTTTTTCTATTTTTAGAAAGGCTAGAGTATACTAGTAGTCGTTTTTAGGTTTTGAGGATGATAAATGTGTTTATGGTTGCTATTGCCAGGAAATAAGGCATTTGTGTTCGTATCTTTTGGATTTAAAGAGAGCTTCTGCTGAAGAAATGCGAAAAAGTGTTTACGCTAATTATGCTGCTTTTATAAGGTAAATTAGTTCTTCCCATTGATGAAAAACTTGCTTTTTCTAGGAAGTTGTGATCAAATTTGTGGTTAGCATTAGCTAATATATAGCTAGCTTGAGAAATTGGTAATCTGGATGTTGAGATTATCGAATTGCGATTTGTGGAAATGCGTCTGTAGTGTGATTGCTTAACATTGCATAAAATTTGTGAATTTTGCGGTTTGTAGGAAGTTGTGATTGAATTTGTGGTTTAACGTTTCAATTTAATGTGATTAAGAACCTATTAAGTATATTATACTGGAAATATGTGTGTGCAGTGTGATTTTAAACGTTTTTTTTTTGCTTATTGTTGACAGGACGTCGAAGGAGATATCTGATTTGGAAGGGGAGCTTTCGTCTATAAGGAACCTGTTATCTACACAAGCAACTTTGATTCATGGTTTAGCGGAGGGAGTTAATATTGATTCTTTATCTTTAAAAGCATCTGAAGGGTCTATGGTAAATGGGTTGTCATCGAATGTTGAAGACAGAGAGCCATCTGATTTGGAGAAATGGTCGGCCGAGTTCCCAGATATGCTAGATGTTTTGTTAGCTGAGAGGAGAGTGGATGAAGCTCTGGCAGCACTTGATGAAGGAGAACGTGTAGCTGCTGAAGCAGAAAAAACAGAATCATTGAGTTTTGGTATACTTAAGCCTTTAGAGATGGCCATTACGGAACGGAGGCAAAAGTTGGCCGATCAACTTGCTGAAGTTGCTTGCCAACCTTCTACTCGCAGTAGTGAACTTCGTGCATCTATATCAGCTCTTAAAAAGCTTGGGGATGGGCCTCGAGCTCATAGTTTGCTCCTCAATGCACACCTCCAAAGATATCAGTATAATATGCAAAGCCTTCGCCCATCAAGCACCTCATATGGAGGAGCGTATACTGCTGCATTGTCACAGATAGTATTTTCTGCTATCGCTCAAGCTGCTTGTGATTCTTTGGCTATTTTTGGTAAGGAACGAGAGTATAGGTCTGAGCTTGTGGTATGGGCTACCAAGCAAACGGAGGCCTTTGCTATTCTTGTTAAAAGACATGCATTAGCATCATCAGCAGCTGCTGGAGGTTTAAGAGCTGCTGCAGAGTGTGTTCAAATAGCTTTAGGTCATTGCTCTTTGTTGGAAGCTCGTGGCTTGGCACTCTGTCCTGTGCTCTTAAAACTATTTAGGCCTAGTGTTGAACAAGCCTTAGATGCTAATCTAAAACGAATTGAAGAGAGCACTGCTGCTTTGGCTGCTGCTGATGATTGGGTGCTCACTTATCCTCCAACCATTACTAAACAGTCTGGCAGGTCTTCTGTTACATCTCTTGGTAATGCAGCAGCATTTCAACATAAACTTACAAGTAGTGCCCATCGCTTCAATTTAATGGTCCAGGTAAACATTCCCTTTTGAGATCTGATAAACTTCAACATTACGCTTCTCTTTTCTCTCTATTCTAACATTAATTCATGCCCTGGTCCTGTTCACTTGCTCCTTTTAATTTCCACTTTGCTGTTTGTTTGGTCTCTGATGATTTTTGACCTTTGCATAGCCCTTCTATGGCACATGCACTAACTCTTTTATTGTTTCCCCCTTCAAGCTTACTGTTGGATATATTTTCTTGATTTCACTTTTACAGTCGGCTTGTCCATGTTTTGAAATGTCTTGAATGCTTTTGAATTGTTAGTCTTCTTTATGATCATCTCAGCGCATGTTTTTTTTTTTTTTTTTTTGGGTCATGTTTGGCTACTGGTTGATTTTTAATTGGTTCTTCCTTGAAATTTTGGTAGTGGTTTAATTCTTTCATTAACTTTCATTATTGTACAACTTGCACATGCAGGACTTCTTTGAGGATGTAGGACCACTCTTAAGCATGCAGTTGGGAGGCCAGACACTGGAAGGTTTGTTCCAAGTGTTTAACTCATATGTGAACATGCTTATAAAAGCTTTACCAGGTTCAATGGAAGAAGAAGCGAACTTTGAAGGTTCCGGAAATAAAATTGTGCGAATGGCTGAGACTGAATCCCAGCAAATTGCGTTGCTGGCAAATGCTTCATTATTAGCAGATGAACTACTCCCACGCGCTGCCATGAAACTTGCACCTCTGAATCAGACTAATTACAAGGATGAACCACGCAGAAGACCTTTAGATAGGCAGAACCGTCATCCTGAGCAGCGAGAATGGAGGAAGCGGCTAGGGGGTTCAGTTGATAGATTAAAAGATACTTTCTGTCGACAACATGCACTGGATCTCATTTTTACAGAAGATGGTGATAGCCATCTTACTGCAGAAATGTATATAAACATGGTTGGAGATGCAGATGAGGTGGATTGGTTTCCATCCCCAATATTCCAGGTATTAGTTTTAAATCAATGGATGCCTTTCATTTGTTAGAGATGTGTGATTTTTTTTTTTTTGGGGTCAAATACTATGATGTTAAGGTGGACAAATGCCTAAAATCTAAATAAGAAATAAATACATTTTGGGTGGCCCATGTAGCACTGTTCTATGTTTGCTTTATCCCTGCAAGAATGTTGACTGGGAAACCTGTGTTATTTATCATGATTTTGGAAGAAGGTCATGTCGACAAAGAAACTCTTAGTTGTCTTGTTCATGCTTCCTTGAATAGAATCTAAGGTGTCTTACTCTTTGGAGAGCATCTCTTTCCTTACCTCTGCTGGGGAGCATTTGGCAGCGGTGAAATAAACAACCTAGTTCTGCCCGTACCACATCCTAGGAGCTCCATTTGTTGAACTTCATGCCACACCACCTATAAACAGCTCATCACCCTGTATTTTATGAGGTTCTCTCACCATCAACTGGGTGTCCTTGTTGCCTCTTCTTTACTAGCTCCTCCAAGGCTGCTCATTACACCATCTTCATCTCTTTTTGTTCTTATGCTAAAGGACACTGCAGCTGATTCTCAACTAGCAATTCTATCATTTAGTTGATAGCTTCATTCCTCTACCTATTCAAACAAGTTTTCCATTCATATAACCAATGCTTGTTTCTAGGCGTGACATTCAGGAATATCAACAATAATCACCTGAGTTGATTGGTGTAGGTCTTTATCTACCCAAATAAGGTTTTTAATTATTCTCCTCCTACTTGATATGGTTTAACTGTTTAAGTTTGATTTTTTTTTTTTAGGAAAATTGGTTTTTTAAGAACTAGTGGGAAACTCGTTTGTGTAAATTTGCTTCCAGATTAGGAGAAACTGCAAGCTGGCTAAGTTATCAGTGAGATTCAATTTGGTACATGGGAATGATATAATTTAAGCTCTTGATGGATGGGAAAGGCTCATGAGCGGTAATTGTTTGTTGAGTCTGAGAGAATTAACGATCGTAGATATCCAATGTCAACATATTGCATTAAACATGCTCATCATTCACAAAATCTTTCTTGGCTTTAATGTAGTTTTTTGTTTTTGAAACTTCGAGTCCAAGTTCTTACACTTTCTTGTGCTACGTTTCAGGAACTTTTTGTAAAACTGAACTGCATGGCAACTATAGCAGCAGAGATGTTTGTAGGAAGGGAAAGATTTGCTACATTGCTATTGATGAGACTTACAGAAACAGTCATTTTATGGCTTTCAGAAGACCAAAGTTTTTGGGATGATATTGAGGAAGGCCCAAGGCCTTTAGGCCCTCTTGGTCTACAACAGGCATGTAACTCTGACATCATTTTATTTATAATTATATGTTGTTGTGAATTGGGTCATTGATATGCTTATTTGCTTCTAAACATGCAGTTCTATTTGGACATGAAGTTTGTCATGTGCTTTGCTTCCCAAGGACGCTACTTGTCACGGAATTTGCATCGAGTCGTCAATGAAATCATTTCAAAAGCTGTGGCAGTATTCTCTGCAACAGGGATGGATCCAGACAGGTACATGGGTTTGGTTTTTGGTTTTCGACTAGCAGCAGTTTCATTATCTTAACATAATCGGAAAGTATTGTAAACATAACCAAAGCTAGGGTGAATTTCTGCAATATTATAGTTTTTGAACTCTTCTGAATTCGAGATTCATTCATAATATGGCATATGGATCCACAGATTATTAGGGGAACCAGTTTCTTACTGTATGATAGATGCATGTGAATTTATTTACAAGTTTAAGTCAGCTCCTTGTGTTAAATATGTTTAGGAAGAAGTGTTTTCTCAACATACATGTTGTGTTTGGTAAACCTATATTGTCTTGGAATAGATTTCCTTTTTCTTTTCTTTCTTCTTGTTTTGAATATTATTCACTACACCAAGTTTTGCTGATGCAGCAGGTTCCAATGAGATAGAAAACTAGGTGTCTTGAAATTGCTTTGACTCATGATGGTTACATTATGCACGTTATTGGAAGTTTTGAAGATAGGGTGTCTAGATAATTAGGCACGTAATATCACTCCATCCCTACCCCTTGCTGGTTCTGTTGTTTTATTTTTTTATGAAGCGAGCTGGATTTAATTTAGGGCCATTTGGTTTTTGTTGAGGATTAGCAGAAACAGTAAGATCATGGTTAAGATACAACTTACAATATCCTTGTCCAGAAGTCAGAGATCATGGTTAAGATACAAGTTACAGTATGCTTGTCCAGAAGTCATACTTTGGGTCGTGACCCATGGGTTGCTTAATAGTTTTGAAGTTAGAAACAGATTCATTGATGATGACAATTATCAGCTTCTAGAAGCAGACTAATTTCAAGTCTGAGGCATCAGATTGTGGGGATGTATACGTCCACTGCATTTGCTCAAATGTAATTTAAAAGTGTAAACAGAGTCTACTGTATGGTGCATTAATTATAATTTATATGCCATCTGATGCAAGCTCAACATGTCTTCGGGTTCCTTTTTGGGGTAAAATGTGCCCAATTTATTTTTTAAGTGCAGCAAAATAGCTATCATGTGTGCACTCATTTAGACGAGTAGTCATATCATATTAAAACATTTAGCTTTTCTGGAGCTGAGATTTTGTTTTTGATGTCAGGGTGCTGCCAGAAGATGACTGGTTTAATGACATTTGCCTAGATGCAGTGGAAAGATTAAGTGGAAAACCAAAAGCCATCGATGGAGATAGAGAACCTAACAGCCCAACAGCCTCTGTCTCGGCACAATCAATTTCTTCAGTCAGATCTCACGGAAGCTCGTAAGGCAAGGTACAACCCTCCTGTAAATTAGACAGTAAACAGTTTCTGTAATGGATTAGCAGACCCCCCATATTCTTTTCTTTTTCTTTCCGGAGTCGATCTTCTTCTTCTTCGTTGTTTTTTTTTTTTCCTCTCCCAATTTTAGTGCTTGACCCTTCATTCCCTATCATAGGTTGAGTTTTGTATGAAAGCTGGGAATTCTTTTTTGTTAGCTGGTTGAGTAAGCATCTGAGTCTGTATATGTTTCAATCTCGAATCTGCATGTATTCATTCTTTTGAAAACCATTGTGTAACCTTTTAGCTAATGCATTGTTTTTGCCTCAAATTTCTTTCTTACGTTCTTCTTCAAGGGAATATCTGTCTTGAACACGTAAGGTTTTTGATAGTTCTCTTTTCTGACTTGAAGCATTATAATAAATTCAATTGTAACTATATAAAATAAGTTCATGGCGCATTGTTTATCAAAAAACCCAAATTTTATAGGAAGGACTGTTTATAATTATAATATCAGACAAAGATGGAGCATCGGACAAGGAGGAAACCGAGAAAGATAACACGGTAAAGGATCTTCCACTCAAGATTAGCAAAGGCAATGTTACCTTATACACATGCTTAAAAAGTTCTATCCCTTGCTATACAAGGCCGAAAAATCTCCTGCTCAAAATAAGAATGTAAACCACTCTCAACAGAAACAACAATCACAACGGCAATCTGTTTCTGGTGGATGCTAAGCAGCCCGATGGAAGATAAACACATTGTTGGCCGGGATTGCCCAAGAATGATGATGGAGAAGAGTTGAGCAAAGTTCATTGGTGTTTCCGGCATGGGAAATGTGAAATAATCGTATGACAAGGAGCCTGTAAAACCTCTAGTAAGGGATTGTAGGTCCGTCTTTCCAAGCTGCTTCCAATGGAGATTGTTTAATTCACCAGTCACACAGCACGCAGTTGCTAGCAGCAACAATTCTAGAAGATTTGGCATTGCATAGAAGTCCGAGATCTCATAAACCCTACCCGCTTCCAAAGCTGCCAAAAAAACTCACAATGTCCTTCGCATCCATGGTTAGGTGAATTGCCCTACCAATTTATACCAAAGTTGATGTGAAATTAGTGTATTACCAAAACATAGAAGGAATGGGCAGATGCAGATTGCAGCAAGAACTTAAGTAGTGAAAGCAAAAGGTTAATTGGATTCTCTATTAGTTGCATTGCTTCTTTATTTTGTTGTAGGCTGATGAATCGTTTCGGTAGCCGTAGCATGGTATTTATCTGCTTTACATTGAGGTGGTATTTTGCAGAGCAACTCTAAAGCGAAACTAAAACATTGCGCTGGTAATCATGATCATTAAAATTGAATTGAATGAGAGCTTAAAATACCTCAGCATCCACAAGAACACCATCAAAGCTGGAAAGTGATTCTTGTTTTCCCACAGCCTGGACACCTGGGCGTTAATGTAGCTTGTTTCTGATAAGGAATCAAAAACAAAAAGCAAAATAATCTTAGTTTGTGGACTGATTTATAGTGTAGGGACTGTTTTGTATTCTATTATCAATGCTTGGGCTAAGAAATATTTTGAATAAGACAAAATAGGTTAGAAGACAAAAATAAAATCATGTGTGTTATTATACCGTGTCAATATCTCATGGTCCATTTTATTCTGGAAAAAGACGTAGTGACACGCACTCATGACACCAAGTCATAACACACAAATCCCCATTTTCTATCCTTTTCTAATAAAATGATCTACTGTTTTCTGCTTAGCTAGTACAGAACAGAAGCAAAGATTCAAGGATCATGCATATTGGTGATGCAGACTAATATGAAAACATCATGGAAAAAATACATGCTCACAAAAGCTTGTATTCCACAACAGAGCAGCTGGGAACGAAAAATAGCGAAAAAAAGAAGTGAAAAATTTACAACACAAGGATGCAAGCACATCCAAATGATAAAAACAGAGAACCATCTGTCATGACCAAACACACTACGAAACTCAAGTTAGCACCCGACGACAGTAGGGACATAAACCATTCCATCAAGACAACAATGACTGGAATAAATCATTAAAGAACCAATTGATCAAAACATAAACCTGTTGAAATCAGTGGAGCAGCACCGGAAAAGTAGCCAAACAAATGCACAGCAAGCCTGTAAAACAATGAAGCAATAATGTATAAAAGATGATTAAGTGCCCCAATAAACAGAAAAATGACATGGTAGGAAACAAAGAGAATGGAAAGCAGGGGAAAACAGACAAACAAAGAATGGAGATTCCCTAAACACATCGCAGCACCGCACCCGTCGGAAACAGGGTGTAGGCCCAGAAAAAAACACAACAGCCATTCAATCAAAGGAGGCAAAGGGAAGAATGATAAAAATGCAGTGTCATAGGAACTCAACCGCATAGGAACAGGAATACCAAGAGGAAAAGCTATCATTAGTTGTCTAGCAACTGATGAGAAATTGAAAACCAAATTAGCAAAGCTGAAACTTGTAGGCAAAAATGGCTGTTTCTGCATAGCAAACACCATATCTAATGACATCATGACTCAACTAATGCAAAAACTGAAGACCACGCCCCCAAAAAATGGAGAGGTAATGAAAAACATTCAAGTAACCTATGAAAAATGTAGAAATAATTGCAAAGAATTGTGGCCATCCAGCCCGAGAAGGACCACAATACATGGAAAAAGAGAAAAAGCAGCATTAAACGAGAAAGAAAGGAGCCGATTTACTCACCAGTGAAAAACATCAGTGAAGAAGAGAAGAGAAAGCTGGAGCAAGAAAGAGAGGCTTGACAAATGAAAGGTCAGGGTGCATTCGTGCCTGTCATGAAATATTCCAATGAACAACTTGGAAACCTTTATGGCACCATTACACTTGAGTAGAGCAAGAAGATGAGCAAAGAACTCGTATTTTGGGGGGCCAAAAAAAAAAAAAAATCATATGTGACGTCAGACATCCTAATTTGGATGTTTTTAACAGTTTTGTACATGAAAATTGAGATTAGCACCAGGGAATTGGGGACGGCAACTACAAGGCAACTCCTCCTGCACATTTCAACTGCTGGCATCTCATAGTTAATGAGCATTGGTGCTGTTGTGCTGCCTGCAATGGTTTTTAATGCGATTAGCTAGGGAAAAAAGTTGATGCGTGAAGGAAAGAAATATGAGAAAATATGTAGTCTCTGCAGATACCTTAATGGTACCAAAAATATCTCTTACATTTTAGCAACACCAGACAATTCCCCATTAGTGTTCAAATCATCCATTCCATTAGCAATCATTTCAGAGCAGATGATCTGGGCCTCTTGCAACCTCCCTCTCTGTCTAAGGCCAGTAGATAGGTCATTGCAGATGCAGACATTAGGAAGGAAACCGTTCTCAAGCATTTCTCTATACCAAAAATAAGCTCCATTAAAATCCTTCAGGTCGCAATGTCCCTTAATCAGCATGCTATACGTATCAGCTTCAGGTGTTAATCCTTTTGCCTTCATGTCATCAACAAGATCCTTTGTTTCTAACAACTTTCCCTCTTTTAAGCATCCTAGAATCAAACTATTATAGGTCATGTTATCTGGACGAACTCCCTTGTCTACCATCTCTTGTCGCAAAGCAAAAGCCTTTTGAACATGCCCAATCTCTTGATAAAAGTGAATCATAGCATTGTACACAACTCGATCAGGGGACAAATTTATCTGCAACATTTCATTAAACAGTGTCTCTTTGAGCTCCATCCCTTCCTTGCTGCATCCGCTGATTAGGAGATGATATGTATTTATAGTAGGTTTCAAACCTAACTTCTTCATAGTTTCATATAGCTCAAGACATTTCTGTGAGTTTCCTGCATTTGAGTACCCTGAGATTAAGGAGTTGTATGTGATCACATCAGGATAGTGACCCCTAGTAGTAATTAGGAAAAGCATCTCTTCAGCATCCTTTAACTTTCCCTTTTTGCATAGCCCATTAATGAGGGCGTTGTAAGTTACAATCGTTGGGTGTATCTCACTTTTCGACATCTCATCAAAGAATCTCAAAGCCTCTTTCAACTTCCCCACTGTACAACTACCATCAATAAGCATATTATATATATTTGCATTAGGCAAGACCCCTCTGCCTACCATATCCCTAAGCACCATTTCTGCCTCAAGAATCTTCCCATCCTTACATAAACAATTTATGAGAGAGCCATAGCTTATAACATTCGGGTTTACCCCATTTTCTTCCATGTCTTCAAGAATCTGGAAACAACTAGAAAAACGACACAACCTTCCATAGCCATCAATAAGTGTATTGTATGTCTCCACACTTGGGGCTATTCCCTTCTTCACCATCTTCTTCACCCATTCCTCTGCCGTATCCATCATCTGCATTTCACAAAATTTATCAATCACAGAATTGAAAGTGATGCAATTTGGTCTCAACCCATGACTTTCCATTCGCTCAATGGTCAAAATGGCTCTATCCATATCACCTATCTGACAATAACCATTCACAATAGTGTTATATATCACCTCATCTGGAACAAGCCCATATTCCACGAGGGACTTCAACACCTCCTCCGCCTTTTCAACTTGCCCTTCTTTACACAATCCATTCAACAGAATACTACACGTGTAACTGTTAATCCTGACTCCCTTCCCAATTGCCTCCCGATACAAATCCATAGCGGCTCCTGCCCCATCGTTCGACTTCAACAACCCATCAAATATTATGCTGTAAGTAAACCCATCAGGTACAAAACCATCAACTTCCATCTCTTTCAGCATACTCCTTGCCTCCTCCATTCTCCGCGCCTTACAAAGGCCACTAAGCAACGAGTTAAAAGTAATAATACTAGGCTCCACCTTCTCCTTCTTCATCCTTTCTCTCAAACTAATTGCCACATCCACCTCCCCAGCCTTACAATACCCATCAATAAGCGTATTAAAAGTCACTCTATTCGGCACCAAATTCCTCACAGACATTTCATCAAACAGCTTCTCTGCATCCCTTATCCTCTTATCCTTACACAACCCACCAATCAAAACATTGTAAACAAACACATTAGGACTAACTTTCCTCCCTTTCATAGTCTCAAACAACTCCATAGCTCGCTTCAAATCCCCCAATTTCACTGCGGCTTGCATTGCTTTCCCATAAACAAGCTTATCAGGTCTAAAACCCAAGCCCACCATCTCCTTAAACAAATCAAGAACCTTATCAAATTTCTTGGATTCCACCAAAGATTCAACGATCATTCTCACATAACCAAACGAAGGAAGCCTGCCTTCTTGTCTCATCATATCGTACAATTCTGAAATTTGACTGTGCATTTTGGATTCGGAACAAATGGAAAGCAACATATCACAGAGAGTAAGCTTTGAAGAAGGATCAGAAGAAACCGAAAAAAGAGAGAGAAGATGAGAAGGTGAAGAAAATGGAGATGGGTTGGAGAGAATGAGAGATTTGGTGAAGTTATAAGCGGTTTCGTTGCGGCCTTGTTGAAGGAGGACTCCAAGGTCGTGGATTTGGTCGTTAATGCGGTGGTCTCGGCCATCGGCGGCGGTGGCATTTTGTGGGTTTTCAGTAGAGACTGCAGTGGAGAGAGGAAGGGAGAAGCGGAGTGAGTTGGGTTTTACGAGCTTGTTTGGCGCCAACTTGGAAAGGAGGAGCCTTGCCATTTCTCTTCCTCTCTCTCTCTCTCTCTCGAAATTATTCTGTTCTGCTGCTGTTCGTTAACTCTTTTATGTTTCGGTAATTGGATTTTACATCCCTGAATTATTATTATTTTTTATTTCCGTCTCTAAACTATAAGCCATTTGGATTGACTCTCCTTTTTGTTAGATTATTCCATTTTAACAGTTAAAGTAATCTGTTTTCGTGCCGTACTGTATATTGAAATAGACATATTTATTTCAGTTTAAAAATATATATTAAGTTATTGATCAATTAAAATATATTAAATTAAAAATAAAAAATATAATTTTATAGATTTTAATCAAAATTTTGTATTTAATATTTTTTTTGTAAGTTTTAATAAATTTTGTAGTTAAAATAATATGATTTGTTATTTTTTATGCATTTTTTTAAATAAAAACTCATAATAATCTAAATATAAAATTTTAAAAAATCTCTTAATAATTTTTTTCATATCATTGCATCGAATACATAAAGCAACAATTAATATAAAAACTTATATAAAAAAATAACAAATTAACATTCCTTAGTCTTATTTAATACTCAAGATAATATAATTAACTTTTTAAAAATATTTACATTTGATATATATATATATATATATATATATATATATATATATATATATATATATATATATGTTAGTATAAAAAGGTTGTATTTGAATTATTAGGCAGCTTCTTCTAAAATATATTTTTACTTAATTTATTTGAAAGATTTTAATTTTAAAATATTAAGAAATAATAATAGGATATAGTTGGTGTTATGTGCATAGATGTATAGTTAATTTTCAATAAAATCAATAATAATTTTTTTTATATACATCATGATCATACTCAATAGATCGAGTATGCATTATAAATCAAAAAATATTTTTTAAAAAAATTAAATTGTAAAAAATAAATTGAAGTTAACAGAGTACAACAAAAAAACCTACAAAATTGATTTTGATAAAATTTAATTATATATATATATAAGCAAATAAAACAGATGGATTCTATTTTTTAAATTTGATAATGTAAAGAAAGTAAGAAAATAAAAACAAGAAAGAAAAAACTTATTCGAAAATCCATATATAGAGAAAATAAATTACATTTTTTAATAAATAAAATTACATAAAATTATTTTAGAAAAAATTAGAAAGCAAAGTATAATATTTGTCAAAACTTGCATATCAAATAACTAAATATAAGTCCAAAATTATAAAAATGTCATATCAAATGTCTAAATAAAGCTTAAAATTCACAATAGTGCTACTTAATACAATATTATTAAATCAATAGTACTCATGAATGCGAATGAATAATAAAATGAGTGTAAATAAATAGTAAGTGAATAGTAATCACTCCAAATCTCTTAGGTTTTCTTATAATATTGCAAGCAAGTCACATTTTTTTTAACTGAAAAACTAACATAAAGTTATTAGACAATCAACTCTTGTTTCCTTTATGAAAATTTAATCATGTTGTATAAGAAATTATTAGAATAAATTGTAAAATATCTCCTGAATTTGGAATGTATATATATTCCTTGAACTAAAAAATCTATGATTTTACTCTCTAAATCATATTTTTTGAATGCCTCTTCTACTAGGTTTTGTGGAAAAATTAGCGACAAAACTCATAAAAATCCTCCCAATTCTTTTTTTTTTTCCTGCTAATTTAAGAAAACATGTTTACTAATAAAAAGGATTTTACCTTAAACCAAATGCACATCAAATTAGGCAAATTTTTGAGGAAAAACAAGGTAAATAAATGAATGTAAGAAACAGAAGTATTTCTTTTGGGCTTTTGTAATACCAATTTTGTTTTTTAAAAGCTAGATCATAGATGGATGAAAACGAGTAACGACCATCTAAGCTAAGCTAAAAGCTCTTACTTCTCACAACATTTGTTAGCCGTAGAGGCATGAATTGACAGGAAAATGAACAGAAAAACAAAGAAAACATTGCCCATTTAATGCATTTATCAAGAAATGGAAATGCTAAGCATTGTTGATTGATTCGGATCTAAAAAAGACTAGCTAGCATCAGTTAATGTTCTAAAAACCTACAAAACTTCAGCTGCGTTTGCCTCTGATGTTGTCATTTCTCTTTACTAATTGCTTGACAACATCTCTCATAGAGGGTCTTTTGTAAAGCTCCTTTTCGGTGCATCTCAGAGCCACCAAAAGCATAACAATGGCTTGATTCATGATATTTGAATCCAAAAACTCCTCCCTGATGCTCGAATCAGCAATCCTGTTGATGTCTTCTGTGCTGCTCCAAACAGACCTAGCCCACCCTACAATATCTGTTTCCTCCACAAATAATGGATCCGATGCCTTCTTTCTAGTTATCAGCTCAAGTAAAACAACCCCGTAGCTATAAACATCCGATTCCTTGCTCTTCATTGTCGAAAACGCATTTTCTGTCAAAGCAAATGATGATTCTTTTATATTAGAATATGAACATATAGGATAACAGAATAAGGGCTGCTTGAAACAGCAAGTGAAAAGGTTACCTGGCGCTATGTATCCAATTGTGCCTGGAACCAAGAGAGACTGTGCTGAAGCAGAAGACTGATCCAGTAGCTTAGCTATACCAAAATCAGAGATATGAGGCTCCATATCAGAGTCTAAAAGAATGTTCTCTGGTTTGATGTCACGATGCACAATAGGAGGATCGCAAAAGTAATGGAGATATTCCAACCCGTGGGCAGTTCCAACGGCTATTTTATAGCGTACGCTCCACTCTAGAGTTTGCGGTGGTGTGGTCCCATGTAAGACATCACGAAGGCTCCCATTTTGCATGTAAGCATACAGGATCAAACCATAGTCCTTCCGTAACCAAAAGCCTTCCAATTTGATCAGATTCCGGTGCCTGATTTTCCCAACAGTTCGAATTTCTGTAAACATACTTTTGTTTCCCCCTTTGTTGCCTGTAAACACGATCTTCTTTACAGCAAAGATTTTGTCTCCAGCCAATGAAACCTTATAAACTGTTCCGTGGGTTCCCCTCCCAATGATATGTTTGTCATTTAGATTCTCCGTAGCTTGCATGACTTCGTTGAGTAGTGAAGAAGGGCCCTCTTGGCCGGCAAGTTCAACATCATTTTCAATCCCAAGTTTCTGCTTACATCTTCTGCACAAGATAAACATGTAAACCAGTCCAAGAAGCAGAAAAACAGCAACCACAGAAGCAAAAGCTATCATTGCAACAGCCACTTTGGAAAGGCCACCTTGATTTCTTGACTGACTGTCACATCGCTTGAAACTTCTGTTTTCGTTGCATGTTAAGCCACCTGATGGAAGACAACTGACACATAGATCGGGATTGCCCCAAAACGATGATGGCGATGAGTTAAGCAAGTTCATTAGTGTTTCTGGTATTGGACCATTGAAGTGATTGAATGAAATATTGACCTGGACCAATGACTGGAGTTTACCGAGAGCTGCTATAGTTCCTGTCAGATTATTGTTCGATATATCAAGCTGTTCAAGCATGATCAAGTTCCCCAGCTCTGAAGGAAGCTCTCCGAAGAATCCATTATTGCTTAGATTCAATGCATATTGCAGACTCTTTAAAGACCCAATTGATGAAGGAATCTCGCCTCCCAGCAAATTCCCACCAAGTTGTAGCTCTGTAAGCATTTCAAGTTCAGAGAGAAAAAGAGGAATGCCCCCAGTAAAATGATTCTCTCTTAAAATCAAAGCAGATAAGCTCGTCCAGTTCCTCAAACTCAACGGAATTGAGCCGTTCAGTGAATTGAACCCCACATCAAACTTGCCTAGTTTGTAACACTTAGACAGTTGGGATGGCAAAGAACCTTCCAGATGGTTGGATGAAAGGTTCAATTCCTGTAGGTTTGTAAGCTTACCTAGCTCTGGGGGTATAAATCCTGTAAGCTTATTCATGGAAAGATCAATGACAGTGAGACCAGAACAGTTCCCAATGCTGGGGGGAATCGGGCCTGTGATATTATTTTTGCTGATGCCCACGTAATTGAGGATGGGATTTTCTGCAAATTCTGGAAGGGCACCTGAGAGGTTGTTCTTTTCAAGTTTCAACCTCCAGAGCGTTGAGCAGCCTCCCACGTCAGAAGGAATGCTGCCTTGAAGTTGGTTGCCACCCATATTAAGAACTCTCAATTGCTTTCCGTGGCAAAGGTTTGGGGGAATTTCACCAGTGAACTTATTAGATGTGAAGTCCAGCTGCAACAAGCTGCTGTTGATTCCCAAACTTTGGGGTATGACACCAAAGAACTGATTGTTGAACAATGACATGTTCTTTAGGTTCTTGAGATGAGTGATCTCAAGAGGTAATTCACCGTAAAGACTGTTGTTATACACAAGGAGGTACTTAAGGCTCGGAATCTTCCAGATGCTAATAGGAATTTCACCACTCAAATGGTTGTTAAACAACTCGAGGTTCTCTAATTTGTTTAACCCCCCAACTCACTCGGAATCTTTCCCTCAAGTTTATTTGTGTATAGATTTAACACTGTCAAGGACTTGCAATTCCCAAGTTCAGGAGGAATCCTCCCAGACAGTCGATTCTCAGAGAGGTCAAGGTGAGAAAGCTTTTTTAGTTGGCCAAAGGAAGATGGGATCGTTCCGGTTAAGTTGCTATGAACAATGGCAAAGGTTGCTAAGCTACTACAATTGCCTAAATCTGGTGGAAGACCCCCACTAAAGCTATTGAATGACAAATCTAACTTTTCCAAATTCTTGCATTTGCAAAAACCCAAAGGAATTCTACCCTCAAGATTATTCTGACCAACAGATAAATCAACAAGGCTTTCAAGATTGGTTAGACTCTCGGGCAAAGAACCAATTAACTTGTTATAACTCAAAGTCAGAGATTGCAATTTTCTACAATTTCCAATAGACTCAGGAATTGGACCAGATAACTGATTACTATATAAGGACAGTTCTAAAAGCTCAGTCAAGTTTCCAACACTCCTAGGAAAGGAACCATTGAATCTGTTGGTGTCCAGATACAAAACTTGTAAACCCCAATTTTGAAACAGTGATTCAGGTATTTCACCAGACAGTGAATTAGAGAAAAGACTCAACGTTTGTAAATTTTGCAAGTACTTAAAGCTATCAGGTATTCCACCAGTAAAACTATTTGTAGACAAATCCAAGTACTCAAGGAGACTACAATTTCCTAACTGTGAGGGTATTTCACCAGAAAACTCATTAGTGTTCAAATCAATGGTCTTCAACTGCTTTAACCGCCAAATTTCAGGGCCCAGTGGACCAGAAATTCCGTACCCAGAAAGGTTCAAAGAAACTACACTATGACTTCTATAATCACATTTTATACCTAGCCAAGAACAAGGAGTTGAGTCTGAAGAATTCCAACTTGAAGTCATGGAAGTAGGCACAGAATTCCACCGACTCAAGAGGGACAACAGAGCCAACCCATCAGAGTTCAAACCAGACACAGTAGTAGCATATACAGACACAAAGTAACAACAAAACAGCAAAGAAAACAGATTCATAGTATTCCTTATTCCTTAACTAGTACCTAGAAAAAGACAACACGAAGTAAAGTACAGAATTTCGCTAGAAATGCCAGAAAAGACACTGACCTAGTTAGAGTTTGCAAGAAAAGCAACCATTTGGGAAGCTGACATTGTAGACAGAGAGTAAGAAAAAAGTAAAAGTGTGAAATTTGAAAGGAATTTCTGAGGAAGACAAAGATTCAAGATAACACTGGTCTCTTGGTGGGATCATTGTTGGTATTTGCGCATTTATAAAAGGTTGTTGGCGCGGTCGGTGTCAAGAGTGTGAAATCTGAACAATTTCAACGCGGCTGCAGGTCACTGTCCACGTTGGTTCAGACATTTCAGGTAGTGGACTTTACTTTGTCTAGGTCTTTCAAAAGTCTTTTTGCTCCCTCCATTAAAAGGGGTAAAAATTGGGGTCTTACTTTTAGGCTTTGGCTTGGCAAAACTTGGAAGTGTCCTTTTCATCCATTAAATTGAAGTTTCGAGAGAGAGAAAAGCTCAAGAGCTTGAACTGAATGAACCAAGATTCCAAAAGTTGAACAACTATTTGTGTTTGAGGAATTTAGTCCTATTGGTGATGAGAAAAATATAAATTAGTTCTTTTTGTTTCTCGGAACAAATTAAATAATCTCTCAAATTTAAAAAAAAAATAATTAATTAGTTCTTATATTTTTAAATCAATTTGTAAATTAATTATTTTAATTTTTTTAATTTTTTTTGTTTTAATAAATAGAAAAATGAAAAAAATAAAAATTTTGATAAAAAAAATATTATTAAATTAATCATGATCAAGAATAATAAAAGAATTTTTCAAAAAATATATTAAAACCTTAAATAATTGATAGATTAAGAATTATTTTATTATATAAAAATAGGTTGAGCTATTGACTCATTTTCCTAATATTTTATTTTCTGGTCAAGTCTGGAGCAGAATTTCCATGAAAACAAGAAAAATTATTATGAGTCCACACTATGTTAGGTATGATATTTAATTTCCACTAACATAATGGACCCAACAAAGTCATGGATCTCATGCACAATCTCGTCTCCGTTTCTTTTAAAAAAAGGTTATTACGAACCCACTATATTTTAGGTATTATATTTAATTTCCACCGATAAAAGGACCCATCAAAGTCGTGTATCTCAGCACAATCAAGCCTTTGTTATTATAATCTTTACCATTTTTATTTTTTATTTTTTGAGTTGATAGTTAACTTTACCCCTGCGAACAAGCAAGAAAATAGTAACACTAAATTCTTATTTTTCTCGCGTTCATACAACTGGAAATTTCCTCTTTTGGAGGACTGAATTGAGCCCTATGTAACCAAAAATCTTTTACCGAAGAGTTTGTAGTCTATAGTCCAGCTATAGTGAATTCTTATAACAGAAGGTCACAGATTTAAATTTTAATAGACTAGCTTTGTTAAAAGCCTTAGATTTGAGTTTATATAAAAAAATAATAATAATAATAAAAAATAAAAAAATCTACCAATTTGAGCAGATTCCGGTGCCTGATTTTCCAAACGGTTTGAATTTCTCTAATCATACTTTTGTTTCCTCCTTTCGCCTGTAAACGCTATCTTCTTTACTGCAAAGATTGTCTCCAGCTAATGAAGCCTTGTAAACTGTTCAATGGCTTCCCCGCCCATTGATGTGTCTGTCAAGTAGATTCTCAGTAGCTTCGACCACTATTTTTTGAGTAGTGAAGACGGGCCACCTTGAGTGGGTGGAAGCTGCAATTTCAGCATCCTGTTTGATACCACAAGTTGTTGCCCTGTGAGCTTTTCAAGTTCTGACAGGAAGGGCGACCAATTCCCCAAACTCAAGGGAATTGTGCTTGCCTAATTTGTAACACTTTGATATAGCTGAGACGACAAAGAACCTTTCAGTTGGGTCGATGAAAGATCCAGGGGCTCGAGGTTTATAAGGTTACCTAGCTTTGGGGGTATTGAATCCGTAAGCTTTTTCATGGATAGACCAATGTGAGACCAGTGCAGCAGTTCCCTATGCTGGGTGGAATTTAGCCTGCAATATTGTTCTTGATGATGTCCATGTGAGAAAGGTTTAGAGTTTCTGCGAATTTTGGAAGGGCACCAAAGAGTTTGTTCTCGCTACGGATCAATCTCCAGAATATTGAGCAGCCTCAAACATCAGAATGCAGCATTGAAGTTGGTTCTTCAAATTGGAATGCTTAAGCTTAGAACTTCTAGTATTGTTTCTTTGAACCTCTCTGGATATGCAATTTCTTAATGTGTCGCAACCAACATCATCAGGTAGTGTAAATTGATAAACCATCTTCAACCATTCGATTCAGGAAACAGTTGTCAAGTTAATAGCAATGGTTATCCTAAACTAGAATATAGACGTACAAGTAAAATTTCACAATACAATTCTCAGCAATTTCTCATAATCTTTAGGCAATTTAGTACCCTAATCATTGCTGAACTAAAACAAATGCTAAGGCAGAAATCACACAGGTTGCATGAATGAAACAAATACAGAGATAGAGACCAGAACTTGACGGTACAGTGGAAAGATCAAAGGAAGGATAATGTGAACGAAGGTTGAGAAAACAAGGCAGCCATTAAAACTTTTAAGCAGTATAAGACCAATAAAATAAAAATAACTAGTGTATTTTGGTATATTTTCCGTATACCAATGTCCCGTGGCCTAAAGAAAAAAAAAACCATCAAAGAAGATCCAGAAATTCAACAACAAGCCCTAGCATAAGTATTGGAATGCCAGCAATCTGAAGTGAGCTGAAGAGTTTCCTTGTCTCAAGCTCCCCCTTACATCTCTCAAGTTTGCTTCAGTTGAAATAACCCAAAGACAATCTCTTCAAAAGCTGTCAATTTAACATCCAGACAAGGATGTTTACCCACCAAATCGTCCCGAAACAAGTAAAATTACCTCATATTAAAACAGCTGCAGGCACTTGACATCCTCAGATGACTGGAAGCTTGTCATTTGGTTGTTTGTAAAAACCCTGCATATAAATCACAAGGGCATATATTTCGCCACATTCTTCACATTGTTATGCTTTGAATAACCTAGATGCTAAATCATTGGGACTATGTTTTGCTCAAACTGATGGGTGGAAGATTTACACTTAGGAACATGGTACAGAGGAGGTAGTCAAGATGTTAGTGGTGATGGTTAAGAATACATGATTGATGGTGTGCATTGCCTTGTTAAACTCGTGCAATGAAAATGGTTAAGAATACATGATTCATTGCCTTGTTAAACTTGTGTAATAAAATGTAACTCTTAATTTCCTTTGGATGCCATGTGAAATAATACATGATTCCTAGTGTGAATGGTCTTGTTAAACTGGTGCCGTGAAATGTACCTCAAATTTCCTCTGGATGTCATGTCAAATAATGTGATGAATTGAACCTAATGTGGGGAACTTCGAATACAAGGTACCTAAAGAGATAAGCGTACCTAATATAGATGTGGATATGAACATAATATGAAAAGCACACAAATCCAAAAACACGCTGCCATGCAACACTTGCTACAAATGGTAAACATATCAGAACTCCTATTAAGTTATCCACGCAACAACACATGCTGCTGACAAATGCATGTCCTGGACAAAATAGTATAACATGAGCGAATATGGTGTTCATGATAGCAGTACGTGCATTCATTCACGTGAGAAGGGATGCTAATGCTGATGTTGATGATGAAATGGATGCATGCAACAGCTGCAAGATGCATCCTAAAATGTATTTCTCTGAGCAAAAAGATCAGATCACATCCCCTTCAAGCTACTGATAGGTAATTGGCGGTGGAGGTCCATTGGCACTAGGTGAAGCAACATGGTGGATCCCATCCTTCCTTTTCCCATATGGGTTCTTTGAATATGTATGTTAAAGTCAAGGAAAAAAGGTACATACTGAATTATAAAAGTAAAAAAGAAAACTAAAAAGCAAAATGCATAATCAGGTCTAGCCCCCTCTACTAATTATTAATAAATCCCTTGATAGAATCAACAACAATATCATAATGACTGAGTGGTCGTTGCGTTTTACAGAACAATTATATATAGTATAGCATATAACACAAAGCTAATGCAAGAGAAAGTATGAAGAGAACTTCTGAGCTACCACATTTATGACATGTTAAATCAAATGCTTAGATCACTTGAAATCCGCATTCAGGGTACTAAAGTTTAAGTCGTAAATAAACGTTTTAGTTTGAGATTATATGGATAGAATATAAGAAAAGGCAGTGTATTAAATATAGTGCCAAAAAAATCTAAAAGGATATTGTATTCGCATGCCAACAGCTCCAGAACTCGGAATAACAGCACCCTGCAAAGTATGGTGCACATTCGTTGCACTATTCACATCCTGCAAATATTTGGAACAAACTTTAGGCATTTATAGAAATACCTGAAGTATTCCCATCATAATATATAAATAATAACAATTCAAAGTTAAAGTATCTGCATTGATGACTAGCAGGTTACTTACTTCAAACTCAATAAAGCAAACAGTATGCCTTTCTTGTCTCAAAACCTTCATTTGCTTAAAACCAGGTTGCCTGCATGCACAGAAGTATAAATTGAACCACAAGATTCTTTACAAATAGGTTCTTTAAATAAAACTCAGAAAACTGGCCAGGAGAAGACACTCTTACCCACTGAATAGACCTCTCAGTTCATCCTCGTTGATATTCTCTCCAAGATTGCCAATAAATAAGGTATTGCAAGGAGGGTTGTCTTTTGTATTCTACATGAATTGTCAAGGGCAAAAATAAGAACAGACTACTTAGTAAACATGCAACCATAAATTAAGGAATTCAACTTTGATTTTCTTGTTCATTCTTTTATGGAAACTTGAGATTTCTAATATGGAATACCATAAATTAAGGAATTAAACTTTGATTTTCTTGTTCATTCTTTTTATGGAAACTTGAGATTTCTAATGTGGAATACCCTAAATCCATGGGTTTCTGGTGAATTACAATCAAAGTAGGTATACGCATTACACCTTTAGTAACACATGGGATCGATGAGAAAAAGTTGGTGGATTGGGTGAAGTACAGTACTAAGGAATAGTGCTCATTTGGAAATTAAGAATGATAAGTATCATGAACGAAATATGATCAAACATTTGGTGTAAATAAGTACATAAGATGAGAAATATCACATGCGGGCATCACCTGAACTGGCACATAGCTGCTAGGAGCTGGGATAGGAGCAGGAGGAGGCATTGGTACTTGAGGAACAGGATAACCACCATATGGATCATACGGAGGCGGAGCTGGAGTCATGTACCTAAAGCAAGCATGCAATGTTAAGAAGGGAACATACCATTCAAAAAGAACACCATAAAGCTAACTGAATCTACATGATTTATGAAGCATAGCAACACTAGCTTCGATATAAAGGTTGTTCACTCTAACACAATTTACAAACTCAAAGTTCACCTGGACAGGTAAATTCTTACCCATGTGGTCCCCAAACAGGAGGAGGAGGGTGAAATGGAGATGGAGTAGTATAAGCAGTGTGAGAATAATCACCACCAGTTCGCAAACGTTTGCTTTGATCATAAGCATTAGAATCTGCAACTATTCCTGTAGATTAACAAAATATCAGTAATACATAGCAAAACTACAGCAAAGTTGAGACATTATCAAATTCAATTCATCAACATGATTGCAAAACAATATCCAGCAATCAAAAAGTATGCATAAGAAAAGGTAGGACCCAATGATGCAGATTACAGAAATAACTAAGATCCTCCAATTCAAGCTTTTCCTATGTTTCTCACTAATTGCATGTTTTGATATACTCCTGCACTGCCATGACATGACATTTTGCAGACACTGCTGATCAAGGAAGTTATCCATGATCCATCCAACTGGAAGCCAAAGACCAGGATTACAAACCCACCAATCAAGGATCCTAAAGACAATGGTGGTTCTAAGTAATTGCAAAGAAAATTTCATTAAGCTAGCTGTGCAATTTAGTTCTGCAATTCTATTTCTCAAGGGGTACATGCATAAGATTCCATCTAGGGCCAAATCCCAGCTCCCCCTTGCATTGCAACTGTTTCAATGTGATACAACCTCATTCTTTTTCAGTAAAATAAAGCAAGCACTCATCACCCATCTAATCTTAGCTCACACTTCATGAAAAACATACTAAAGCAGTAGATCACATATACCTTTCTAAGTCCAATCCAAGACCCAAAAGTGCCACGATATTAAAGGTTTTCATGAATTGAAACCTTATTTAAACCAAAAGTTTCAAATATTTCTGTGACTCCAAAACAAACAGAACAAGATATCAACTCACGCCCAATTAGAACCTCACCTCTTTTAACAAATAGATTCTTCTTAGCCATTTCTGTATGCAACACAGACTTAGTCTCCGCATCGAAAACCATGTCCTAAAATCAACAACAAGAGGAAAAAAACATTAACAACTAAAACAACAGAAACAACAACAACAACCAAAAAAAAAAAAAAATCAAATAATGTACTGAGACTTTTAACCTGGAGAGCGTCTTTAGCAGCAATAGCGTGCTGCGCACACGAAAATAGAGCAAAACCCATAGCTTTCTCTCCTTTATAATTAACTTGTGAAGCCTCATAACCAGGTAACCATCTCAACAAATTCTGCAATTCTCTCTCCTTCACATCGTCAGGGAATCCCGTTATAAATATCGTTCGAACCTAACAAATCGACATCGTCAGCTCAATTCAGTTTTGTTTTTCCCCAATTTTATTTTCTAGGGCACAAAAAATTACTGATTATATCTAAGAGAACGAAAGATCAATATTGGAATCAATAGAGTGGTAATTTGTTTTATATTACCTCGTCGAGAGTGGGAGGGCCGCGATTGGAGTTATCGACGAGGCCGGGAGGTGGAGCGTGGTGGACAGAAGGAGGGTGAGGAGCGCCTGGGGCGGAGGGTGGTGGTGGTGGAGCTTGTGCTGGCGGCCATTGCTGGTGGTATGGGTGGATTCCTGTTCCCGCCATGTGAGTCGGTGGTGGTTCTGCTCGATAAAAACCCTAGAGCCACCAATAACGAAGAGCGAGGGAGCGCGAAAGAGAGACGGTGGAGAAGGTAAATAAAATCGCGAACTCTTCAGTTTTGCGAATGCATATGTAAATTTATATTGTGTTTAGTGCCCTAGCTTTTTATTATTTGTAGATTGTGCCCTTGTTATTTAGTCCTTTTATTTATCAGTTTATTTCCATTTGAGACAGCTTTCAGTGGGGACTTTATGTTTTTTATTTAAAAAGTCCCTTTACTACTTTTATTTTGATATTGTCCCTAAACGATGTTTTTTTTTCATCATTACTAAATGTTTATCGGCATCGTGTCGTGGATTGGATAAAATAAAATTATTTATAATTTTAAAATTAATTTTTTTGACATTTTTTTATAAATTTTCTAGTAGAAAATATGATTTTAATTTTTTTATGCTTTGATTCTTAAATAAAACTTGTAATAATTTAAACCGAGATATTTATCAAGAATTAAAAAAATATTTTTCATGAGAATTTATTTAAAAAATAAATTTATAGTTTATGTATAAACTTGTAAAAAAATAACTAATAAAAAATTATTCTTATTTAATGTTGATGAGAAGATTAATTTTTAAAGATATATGAATTTGACCTATCTATATTTATTTATTAAATAATCAATAATGTGAACATAAAAATTGTATTTGAATAATTAATCGATTCCTTTAAAAAATTATTTTAATTATTTTATTTCAGAGAAATTGGTTTTATAAGGCTAAAAAACATATTGATAACAAATAATTTGTGTTATGTGTGAAATGTATAGTTAATTTTCAATAAAATTGATGATTTAATGGTTTTTTTTATACGTGTCGACATGTTTAGTGGATTGACATAAATTATTTGAAATAAACTTTTAACTTTTTATATTAAAATAGTTATATGTTTATATACATGCAACTATTATTAAAAATCCTAACAATTCATGATATATATATACTAATTGATTTGAAAAATAATAATGTTTTAAAATTTTATTCTAAAATTCAAATATATAGAAAAATAAATTATACTTATTAGTAAATAAAATTTTATATTAAAAAATATTAATTGGACGAAAATTTTCATAAGAAATAATAAATTCAAAAAATAAATTTTAAATAATAAGAGTAATATAAGATTAAATACATATTAATTTTAAAATATAAGAAGATAGTATATATATTTTATCTTCATTACGCTGCATGAAAAACAAAAATAATAAAGTTCAATGTTTTGTAATTTTTGCCTAAAATTTCTTAATTTTACAGAAAAATCATAGGAAAAAACTCAAAATGACAGAAATAACATAAAAAAAAAAAAAAAAAACTCATTCGAGACCTCAAGAAATATTTAATACATACAAAAATTCAAATCAAAATTTAAAAACTCAAAATATTTTGGGCTTCGAATCTACTTTCTTCGACCATTTCATAACTCGTTCATCACTACAAACACATTCTACTTCTCGAGTTGGACAAATTTGTGGTAATACCAACCGTTAAGGTGGTTGAAATGAGTTTCGTCGTCTCTCTCTCTCTCCTCCCTCCTCCCTCGCTCTATGTTTCTTTTTTTTTAACATGCAGAGACCAAAACGAACAAAAAATAACATTACGGATCAAAAAGACGATGTTAAAAAATAAAGGGTATATTTTTACGAAAAACAGTGATAAACACAATAATAAATAGTGATTTTTAGAGAGAGAGAGAGAGCGGTGACAACATAATAGTATATGCACAATATTTTTCTGTTTTGTTTCAGTATATTTATTAATACTTTTCCATCAGTTTGCATTATTAAAATTGTTAAAATTGAAATGCAGCATCAAATTTTTCACTGATGTATATCTTGGTTCCTAAATATTTTTCTTTAATCATTTTATTTTATTTTATTACAAATAAGTCCTTGATTAATAGTTTTTGGTCACCATACTTTACAATAAATACAATTTAATTTTTAAATGATTTTTTTCAACCAAATCTCTATATGTCATATAAATTTACTTTGATTTTGAATTTATTTTCTCATATTATTTTTTTAAATAACCTAACAACGATAATTCGCTACTGAGTTTGTGGCATATAACTTTTCTTGAACTTTTTACTTCATATTTCATTGCTAGTTTAGCTGCAAAATCATACACAAGGACAAAGAATTTTAGATTTTCATACCAGGATCATGAGCACTGTTCATTGCAGAGTGTTATGAGCAGCTTTGGTTGTTTTGCGGGATTAACTTGAAAGTAAACGAAAAGAGATGAATGTGTTTTGACGGAAAGAGGAGAAAAAAATGAAGCAAGGAAAAAAAATTTCTAGACAGCAAATTCTTATTAATAGAGAAGACAAATCAAGCAAAAGCCAGCCAAAGCAGTACAGCGTACCGGATCCTTTTGTTGTTAGACTATGTATCAAATTGCAAGATAAACATTGTTTAATACATCGTTTTTTATCCATTTTATATAATAGTTTCGAATATCTTCGTTATCATTATTTGCTTTTATAGAATTTCTGTGAAACATTTCACATGAATAACGATATTACATAATGATATTTTCTGAGATTATTATTTATAGCTATTTATCAAATAATGATATTATATTTATTTATTTTATTTTATTGCTTTTTTTCTCAAATTTGAATCTATTATATATTTTTTTAGATATTACCTACGTATAATCTTACATCTTGTGTAATGTATCAAAGTATTAAAGTGTTATTAATTTTATTTTATAATAAATTAAATTATTATTTTATGATATTAAACTTTAGAGATATTATTATGATTAATTAGTAAAATTATTAAAAAATTGAAATAAATTTATTATAATATATTTACGATATCGATTGTTATGACCGCGTTTTACAACTACAGCCGCAATCCTTTTTATAATTGCGGCCGTTATTTAAAAATACAAAGATAAACATGATTGATTCCTCCTATTACTTCGTTTGGAACAGACGTTCAAAGTAGTGGTGGTGGTGGAGAAGATTATGCCAGCAGCCGATACTGGTGGTGAGGGTGAATCTCTGAGTACTTCAGATAGAGCAGAACGAAGAAATCTCTTTGTTTGTTAACAATGGATTTTTAATGTCAAATTCGTGGTTGTTGAAGTTCGGAGCTGAGATGACCATGCAGCTTCATGGTTATGTAGTAGGAAAAAAATATTCTAAACGATGAGAAATTACTGAAGCATCTATACTGTTTTTAGACAACCCTCTCAACGACTAAGAGATTCATTCGAAGAACAAAGGATCTAGTTGAAGTAACGAGCCTCCCAATCTCAGGTTATTATTGTGGAACAAACAAAAGAAATGTCCACCAAGTTTTCCTGCACTTAAAACTACAAATTGGGATGACCACCAAGGAAAAAGAAAGAAGGAAGAAACTCACCAAGCATAATTGACTAGAATTAGCAAATTTTGTAGAATACGAGCAAAATAATGTGTCCGAGTACTAACAACAGTAACAATCAAAACAAGTGCAAAAATAGACCTTCCCCTTAATTTCCTATAGGCAAGGGGCAAAAATAACAACACTGCTAAGTTGCTTTGCATACTGATAGGCAGAGCCGATTGCCCTTTTCTGGCAACCAATTTTTATTTTATTCTGAATTCACTAACTACGTAACCTTGAGGAGTCCTTTAGGCATCCTTCGAACCATTACTACTTTGCAGTTTGCATATAGGCAGAGCATTTTTTATTAGGTTTCTCTATAGCTTGAGGAACACAAACTCTTCGATAGCTGGTACTTCACCGATTCTTTTGAGAGATTCCTCGTTGGGTTCTTCATCCACACCAATAGCCATAATGGCGTTTTTCCTCCTGATAGTTCTTCCAACGCTCATGAAGCTTATGTTTATATTTTGCTCAGCAAGTATGTTTCCAACCTGGCCAATCATGCCAGGCCGATCAACCTGCCTGCACAGGATGAGGTTTCCTTCCAGGCTCACATCAACACTGAAGGAACCTACCCGTGTCAAATGGGGTATGCCATATTTCACTCTACCCTCGATGCTTATGTCTCCACCTTCTGAAACAGCACTTCCGAATTTGGAATCCACATTGGATAGTTGTACCTGGATTGAGAAAAGTGGGAACTCAGGGGACGTGTCAACGACGGCGCGTTCCTCGCTAATGCGGAGGCCTTTTTGCTTGGCTGTGAAGTCTGCATTGACAAGGTTGATGAACGAGTCTGATATTGGTTCGATGATGCCTTTCGTGATCATTGCTCGGAGAAGTCTTGTGTCCAAGTCATCTGGGTCTCGAGCAGATCTGTAAACCACCTTTGCTGACTTGATTCCACTACCTCCAGCCACTAATTGTACCGCTAGCCTACCTAGCTTCTCAGCTAGCACAACATAAGGAGCTAATTCTGACAAAACCTCAGCAGGAACCATTGGAGCATTCACGGCAGTAGCAGCAAGTTCACCTTGCAAGGCTCCGACGACAGCTTCTGCTATTTCGATAGCTACACCTTCCTGATAAAATATGGCATTTGATCAAAAAATTCAATGCGCTACAGATTGCAAGATCATCAATTGGGCACTCCTACTGCACTTTCATACCTGTGCTTCCTTTGTGCTGGCTCCAAGATGAGGTGTGACAGTGACTCTCTCATGTTGCACCAATTTGCTATCTTTTGCTGGAGGTTCCTCTGTGAAAACATCCAGTGCTGCCTGTTGGAGTTAATGATGTGCACAAGTACATCAAACAACGACCAAAATTTACAGCAAAATGAACCCATTTACAAGGAAGGATCATTGCCCACTGGACATACCTGAGCAACTTTTCCACTATCAAGGGCCCTCACTAAAGCATCTTCATCAATAACTCCACCTCTAGCAACATTAACGATTCGAACTCCCTTCTTCACCTTCGAAAAAGTTTCATCATTGAATACCTTTTTGGTAGTAGGAGTAAGTGGCATATGAAGAGAGATGAAATCGGCGGTGGAGATGGCTTGATCGAAGGACACCAACTCTACTCCAATGGCTCGGGCCCTATCAGCTGGGGCATATGGGTCATGGGCAATAACTTGCATTCCCAAACCTTTTGCACGTCTTGCCACTTCAGACCCAACTTTCCCAAAACCCATCACTGCCAATGTTTTCCCTACTAGAGAGACACCAACATACTTGTTCCTCTGCCATTGCCCTGTCCAATTGCAATAATTTCTTTACTCAATTTCTCCATGTGTTAATCAGAATTGTCATTATCAATAATCAAAAGTATAGGTATGAGTCATTTTCAGTTGTTCAAGATCACAAATTATTGATTAATCTTTGACTTTTGACAATTGCAAAAGATTACCAAATTGTACGCCACAAGGTTCCTTGCTTGCAACGTAACTACCTAGATATTTCCTCCATTATTGAGCTATTTTCAAATGAAAAAATCACGCTAACAATGGTTTCTTCTTCGCCACCAAACCTAATAAATCATCTTTTATCCGAGATATTAAACTTAATACGGAAAGTTGGATTTAATCATTCATCTATGATCTCGGAGGAAAAAGAATTAATTTTGATATATAAAAACTAGTACGAGTCTAGTAACAAGTTGTTGGTCCAAAGGTGATAAGCAAGTTGGTCTCTAATCAAATCTGAAACGGGAGATGAGATACCTAAAAGAAAAGGAAAAAAAAAAAACTAGCTCGAGTCTACCCTAACAATGACATTTAGCTATGAAACAAAAAAATAAATAATGCGTTCCATGTGAGTTTATTTTGTACAAGTCAGACAAAAGCATCCAATGATGTTTTCTCCTCTTGGAAAACAACAAATCACATATGCATAAGAAATTCAAAGATCCAACTACCCACATGTAAAGAAAGAGGAAAACCGACCCCGCCAAGTTGTCCATTTGCCCTATTATTGCTACAAATTCCTTGTAGCTAATGTTGACATGACATTCTCCCCTCACAAAATCACAAGCAAACACATTTATGTACATGACAAAATATTGTTCAAAGATTTTCAATTTAATTATGCTCAATTTCTTCATTGTCATGAGCAGTGCTAGATCCGGAAAAAATGACCCAAAAATAAAACTTGAATTTTTTTTACTAAATTGTTCTATAATTCTGAAATAATATTGTGAATATAATTAGTGATTTGAAAAAAAAAAAAGGGAAAAAGAAAGATATGTACCAGCTTTCATGGAGGCATCAGCCTGAGCAACATTTCTGGCCATGGAAGCAAGCAAGGCGATCCCATGTTCAGCAGCAGCAACGGTGTTTGCAGTTGGGGCATTGACCACCAAGCAACCAAATTCTGTGGCGGCTTGTAGATCTACATTATCAATGCCAACACCAGCCCTCCCTACAACCTTCAGCTTCCCTTTAGCAGCCTCAAAAACTTGTCTAGTAACCTTAGTACCACTTCTAACAATCAATGCATCGCATGATGCAATTTTCTTGCAAAGATCTTCTTGGGGAAGATCATAAGAACAATCTACATCACCATAGTTACGTAAGAGTTCAAGACCAGCTTCTCCAAGTTTCTCGGAGACCAAGATGGTTGGTTTCGTTTCTCGAGAATTTGTGTCTTGCCCTCCAACCTTGGACACTGAGGATGTTTCCGCTGATTCTATTGTTTTTGTTGCATTCTTGATGGATAAAGAACGGAGAGAAGAATGAGAGTTTGAGAAAGAATGGGAATGAGAGAGTTTTAGGGAGATTGGTGTGGAGGTGGTGTTGTGGAGGAAGGAAAGAAGAGAGGATCTTGTTGATGGTTGTGAAGAGGAGGAGGTGGTGGTGGTGAATGGAGGAGTAACGAATGGTTTGGTGGTGGAAGAAGCCATGGCGGATGTGTGTTTTTGTTTTCTTGATTTTTGTTTCTGAGAAGGATTGTGTGCTCTCGGTGAGAAGTTATTGACTTCTTATAATAGAGATTTTGACTCCCAATTCTTGTAAACAACCCACAAAATAAGATAATTCTTGGACGGTAAATTTTGTTCTCTATTTTCTTGGACACAACTTTTCCGGATTTTGGTCAAATGGCAAGAATTGTAATATGGCTTGAATTGGAAGGTTTACCTGAAGAAATTCTATGGTATGGTACTAAAAAAAAAAGAAGCTTACCTTACTTATTTTGTATGTGTGAGAGATAAAAAAAAAAAAAATGGAATTGAGATGGAATTATTTTTATCATAAGTGTGAATGTGATTTTTTTTTTAATATATATGTCTCTTTCTTTCAAATAAAATTAAAGCGTTAGTAATTATCGTCATGCTTTCATTTTTTAAATTACTGGTTTTTCTCTGAATTTCATTCCTCTTTCAATTAAAATGGCATACCATAATTTAAAGATGATAAATTCACTTCATTGTCCCCTTATTCCTTAAGGGAAAAGGATATGAATCATTATCCAATCTAAAATTAAAGATGATAAATTCATTAGTCTTATTTAGATGGATATAGATGCTTATGATCTTCTTATCTTTATACTTTTTTCTAAATTTTAAAATAGGTATTTTCCAAATCAATTTTTATCTATGAAGCTATATTTTTTTGATGAAATTTTGAATAATCTATGTATATTAAAGCTAAAAGAAGAGGGAGAGAGGGAGAAAATTCTTCAAAAATAGCAAATTATGTAATTTTTAATACCTAATAAAATCTCCAAAAAAGTTTCTTGATATATCCTCATCATGAATGATATAGAAACAAAGAATTATGCCATTATCCACTCTTGGGTTAGATTCATCCCTCTAGAATGGTTGCATGTCTAATTTATCACCAAAACTAATTGTTTTATTATGCGAATTTGATCACTGAGGGATATTTAGATCCTTCTTAATATTGTGCTTTTTTATGCATGAATCGTTTTAATTGACATTTATTTTATATTTTATCCATTGTAAAAAAAAAAAAACAATTCGGGATTTTAGAGTAATAATTTTTGTTTATTTCAGAAATTTTTTAATTGGTTTTCACATATCAAAACTAATCTTATTGGGTCTGGGAATGATATATTAAGTTCTCTCTCACTCAAACAGCAGCAGCAACAACAACAATAATAAAGAAAACAGCTAGAAATTAGTAGTTTAATTTTTTTTTTTAAAAAAAAGATAATGGGCAATCATTCGAACCTAAGTGCAAGGTCAATGAAAAAATCATGAGAGTTTCGAGACCGTTGTACCAGTAATTATTGAAAACTTTGTGGACTAACTTCAAATAATTATTAGCATTATTGGACCTAACCATTAGTATGATTTAATTAACATTTAAAAGAGAATAAAATCCCAAACTATCGGAGTATCTTAATTGATAATTCAGCAAGCCATAGCTTTAGGCATGTGCTCTTGATGTTTCTCAGCAACTACTTTTGTTGAGTAAATTATAAATCAGTCCCTTTAATTTAAAAAAAGAATTAATTGATATTTTTATTTCAAAAACTAATTATTTAATCATTTTTTAAAATTTTCTTATTACTTTTGTTTCATTTTTTATGAAATAAAAAAGGAAGAAAATTAAGTAAAATACATGAACGAATTGATGAAAAGAAAAATATTTTTAAAGTAAAATAATATTAAAATAAAAATGATTAACATCGATAAAAAAATTAAATAATTAATTTTTAAAACAATGATACTAATTAAGTAAAATATATGAAAGAATAGATGAAAAAATGATATTTTTAAAGTAAAGTAATATTAAAAAAAAAGCGTGATTAACATTGATAAAAAATTAAATAATTAATTTTTCAAACAAGGATACTAATTAATTTATTTTTCAAAAATAGAGGGACTAATTTATAATTTACTCTGCTTTTGTCAGCCACTTGCATGCCCTTTGTACCCCTCAAGGATTCCTCTCTCATAATTTCATTCGTTGCTTACTTTTCAGATCCAGTTTAGAAGTGGACACAAGCATCATATTGCCTCGTTTTCTTCTTTTTAATTTTTCTAATTTTACTCACCAATAATTAATAATTTCTTGGTTGAAATAATTATCACCACCTACCCCATGTTGCTTTCCAACCTGTCACAAAAAGAAAAAAAAAAAGAAGAGATTTTCGAATATTAAAGATAATGTTTTGAAAAGGACCAATCTTAATCCTTTTATTACAACTTCATAATCTAATTATTTAATAACAATAACATAAATTTTACTCAAAATTTTGAAGTAATTTCAAGTTTCTATGTGAATTTATAATTTATAAAAGTGAGATTCTAAATCAAAATTCTGCATGAGAAAATATATATATATATCAGATTACATTAGTTATCAAATCAATGTGAAAAATATATACTTAATTTAAAAAAAAATTAAAGATTTTCAATTCAAACGTCAATTGATTAGAAAATATGTTTACCGTCGAGAGAAAAAAATCGGCACGATAAAGCTATTAAAATTAATTTTAAGTTATAAAAAGAGATTGCATTAAAGTGTAATTACTACGATTTACGAAAACTAGGTTGACAAAGTGGTTTTTCATGCTGTTCAGACAGGCATGAACCGGGACGGGATTTGGGCCCGACGATGTCCCCAAACATGAGTCTAGATAAAGCGAAAAGCCAAAAGGATAAGGACAAAGGCTCTCATCAGCACGAGGCCGAGTAAATTATAAATTAATTCCTTTATTTTTAAAAAATTAATTAATCAGTCCTTTTTATTTTAAAAATTAATTATTTAGTCTTTATATATATATATATATATATATATATATATTGCAACTTAATCATTTTTTCTCGTTTTTTTTAAATTATGTTAAAAATAGAAAAGGAAAAAGATAAGTCAAAAAATAAAAAAATTGATGAGAAAAAATGATATTTTTTAAAAATAATATAATATTAAATTAAGTATGTTTAACACTAGTTAGAAATAAAATAATTAGTTTTTGAACTTGAAATAACTTTCTAGCATCGCGAAATAACTTTCTAACATTGGGATGTTCAGATTTGATCGTGGTCGTGGTCGTGGTCGTGGTTGTCTAAGTCTCTTCCCAAACTACTTATTTTTTTGTCCATGCACTTGAGGGCCAATCTTCATCTAGCCTAGGAATGACAATGAGCAGAGATTTAGTCCCTTAATTCAATATTTTATCCTTTCCATCAGAAAAATATCTTATCTATTATTTATTAATAAATTATCATAGAAATCTGCATACAGCTCGTACCCAGTCCATGTTAGTTTACTCGCTCATTTAATATCCATTAGATATGGATTAAATTTAACTTGTCAAAAACATTCATTTTAGTTCGTATAATTTTTTTAAAAAATTTTTTATCCTTAAAATTATTTATTTATTGTTATTATTTTACATTTTGTCATTTATTTATAGTTTTTTAATCTACAAAGTTTTTGAAAAAAATATTTAATATTTAATTTTAAAATTTTATATAATTAGATCTCCGTATATTTGTAAAAAAATTAAAATAAATCAGCGGGTATTAATAAAATAAAAAATAAATACCTATACTCTGAAACCATTTCAATATACATCGAATATTTTTAATAAATATTTATTAAATAAAATAAAAATTATTTATTTTATATCCCATGTATTGCTATTTGTAGTTCAGCCTGAGAAAATCTTTGCATGCCTCCGCTACCTCGAGTGAAAGGCAGAAGAGAGCTTGACTGCAACACCCACCCGTCGAGTGAGGACAAAAGTCATCTCAGACCCTTTCAAAGCGTTCTTTGACGGACTTTCTTGGTGTGGAACTCGACCGTACCCTTATCCTAACCCTCGGGATTGCGGTCCTCCACGAATAACGAGACATGTCTGTGAGATTAAGGAAGCACCAAGAAGGAGGGAAGATCAAAGGAGCATCGAAAGCAGACCTCGGGAACGTTTTTATTAGTTATATCACCTGCAATAAGATAGCCTAATCAATTTGTTTCTCTAAAATAAAATAAAGGGATTAATTTATAATTTACTCCTATTATGCATACTATAAAACTTAAATAACTCTTTTATATTTTCTACTTCATCATTTTGGGTTAGAATTAAAGAAAAAAATATATAAAGCAAATTCTCATGAATACGTCACGACTTACCTAACTCTTGTCGAAAAAAGATTTAAGTTTTAATACAACAATGCTAGATTAAGAATATCCTAACCGTTAAACCTAAATAAATAAATAAATAAATAATCCACCGGAATGCATGAAAACAAAAAGACTACCACTCTCTCATGTTCTTATATTCCATTCCTTTTTATTTTATTTTATTTTATTTTTTGTTAAAAAAGAAAAGGTTCTTATATTCCACACGTCTATCACCCCAAGTATCTGTTCATGAATTTAAGTTATTGTCCTTTACTTTAACGTTTTCTTTAAGCCCAAATTGACAATTTTATTTTTTTTTCTCTATCACCCCAAGTATCTGTTCATGAATTTAAGTTATCGTTTTTTTTTTGGAAAAAAAAAAAACAAGTAGTCAATTTGGGCTTAAAGAAAGCATTAAAGTAAATGACCCACGAACTTGTATCATAGCTAAATACAATAATGATTATTGCATAGCATGGTCCACATCCTACGCGTTTTATACTTTGTTATATATATATATATATATATAAAGGTTTCGTAGGTATCTAGACTTTTTACAATTCGAACATTTTTCATCAAGAGTCTAAGCTTTTCTATTTAATTTAAAAATTTTACTCTTATATTATTATTGTTTTAAATTTTAATATACCATGTAAGTATATGTGGCATGCTCTAATCAATAACAGTTTGTCACAGCTTTATACTGGACCCAAATTAAATGATTGAATTGATGACGTAATATGTTATTATTGGTAAGAGCTTGTCATGTGTGTTTACATGGTAAGTCGCCGTTAATTAGGGTTTGAAACAACAATAATATAAGAATAGAACTCTTAAATTAAGCGAGAAAAAATTTAGGATTTCAATAAAAAAAAAATCAAATTATACAAAGTCTCAATATGTATAAAACCTATAAAACAATCACGTGTCAAAAAAAATAAAAAAAATCTATTAAGCATGTCGAGCCATTATTATTTTTCTTCTTTGATTGATTGGGCAAGCAGTATTAGTGACTCTTCTGGACCAGAATAGGGACTTTAGGGCTGGCATCTTGATCATGTGCTGCCATGATATGATCATCTTAAATTAAACCATGTAGGCAGGATATGAGTAAATCATAAATTAGTCCTTTTGTTTTCCAGAAACGAATTAATTTTTTTTATAAAAAAAAATAATTATTTAGCATCTTAACCAATGTTGATTATGTTAATTTAATGCTACTTAATTTCCAAAAAAAAGTTCATATTTTCTCATTAATCCTTTCATATCTTTTATTTATTTCTTTCTTTTTTTTTCTTAAAACAAAAATCAAAATAAATTGAAAAGGAAAAAAAAAGATTAAGTTGCAATAAAATTTTAAAATACGGAGATTAAACAGTTAATTTTTGAAACTAGAAAAACTAATTAATTTCTTTTCAAAAATAGAGTAACTAATTTATAATTTGGTAGATTGATAGCTAGAGCTGAATAAAAAAAAGTGTTTTAAGAGTAAATTACAAATTAGTCTCTTTATTTTTGAGAAACGAATTAATTAGTCCACTACTTTTTAAAATTAATTATTTAGTTTATTGATTAATGTTAAACATGCTTAATTTAATATTAATTTATTTCAAAAAATGACATCTTTTCTCATAAATTCTTTTATATTTTTTCTTTCTGTATTTCTTAAAACTAAAAATCAAAATAAATTGAAAAATAACAAAACAGATTAAGTTACAAGAAAATTTTAAAGCATAAAGACTAAATAATTAGTGTTTGAAACAAGAGTGACTAATTAATTTGTTTCTCAAAGCTAGAGAAACTAATTTATAATTTACTCGTGTTTTTAACCATGTATTTTTTCATTTTTTATTTGTTTAGAATGGTGTTTTTAACCATGTTAATAAAAATTAGGCAACAAAATGTGGCCTGCAATAGAAAGACAAGTCGGTCGAAATTGTGGCCAGAGCATAGACAACATGTAGTTCATTTTTGCTGCATTCTTCACAAGTCAGTTGCCAGCCAACACTTCTTTTATTGAAAAGAATTCAATGAAGTAGTGGAGCAGCTACACAGAATTCTAATACACTAAGATTTACATGCAAAGTATAAAAAATTCCAAAGACAGACATTTCTAGCATTCATCTTTTCTAACAAAAACCTCAAAACTCACTGTGTGATGGCTGGCTTAGTAATAATACTCAGCCAGTATCTGTTGTATCTACAGGAATTGCAGAAGTTCCTGTAAAAGCTAAGAAGGAAATCCAGGTAGATCAAAGACTGAGACTGACTGCTCGGCATGCTAAAGTCCTTCAGCTCAGGAAAATGAATCAATTAAATGTCATCCTCTCTCTGATTATCTTTAGGCCAAGATATCTGTCAAAATAAACCAAAATAAGATGGTTTCTTTCACAAAATATACAGAGGTAAACTACCGGGGACAATGATAAAAGCAAACAAATTACCTCCCAAGCATCATCAAAGTAGCCTGAGGATTGGTCCCTGGCGACACAGTCAATGTCGAGCCATCGACAACTCGAAGTGCACCAACACCCATGAGGCGGTAATCACGATCAACTACCTTTCCCACAACACATCCCCCATGGTAATGCCATATGGTGCTAACAGTCCGGCGACAAAAGTCAGCCATCTGAAAAAAATCAGAATGGTCTACAGGCAATGGAGGCCCCACAAACCGGAAATTTCGAGCTCCATACCATTCCCGGAACATGAACTCCTCCATAGTCCTACTCCTCAGCACATCCCCAATCTTACGTGTGCCATTCACACACCTTTCTAGATCCACAGGATTGGAAAAGTAATTGAAGCGCACAATTGGATTCACTCTAACATCTGTGGAAGCCAGCCTTAGTGACCCAGTTGATTGCGGGCCAACAATTTTCTCCATAAGGGTGGCCACTGTGAGATATAAAGGTGATGAAGGTGTCCTAATGAAAACAGCACGAGCAGGGGATATAAAGGGGATAACTGTTGAAGCTGCTTCAAGATAAGCTCCCACGTCAGTAATACCAACTACCTGAATCAGCGAATGCTCCAGTGGCATTGGAGGCACAATTGAGATCCCATTGCGAGGATTATCGTAGAGATATTGCCCCACATATGGAAGATGGTAGGCCACTGGAATGCCCATAGACGAAAGGTAAGACCTTGGACCAATGCCACTTAAAAGAAGTAACTGTGGACTCCCAATGGCACCAGCAGATAGCATCACTTCACCTTTTTCACGCACCATTGCATGGTGATACCGTCCTCTCTTATCGCGATAAACCACTCCAATAGCTGACAGCTGAGACCTTGAATACTGAGAAGTGGATGCCAATAGGATTCTTTCCACGCTTGCATACACAGCAACTTGAATATTGGCTGCATTTGCATAGTTAAGAAGATCAGCAGCACTGTGCCTCCTCCCTGAACCGTCAAAGGTTGAGCCACCAATCTTTGTGCCAACCACATGATCCAAACTGAAACCAGTATATGGTTCAACCCCAGCCTCCAAAAGTCCATCTCTAACAGCAGATTGCCAGTTTCTAAGCTCTGGCCTAAACACAACTGCCTTCTCAACCCATTCATAGGACTGATTCACAACATTGAGGTCCCAATCCACACCCGATTGCTGAAAGAAAGCTTGGTCGGCTCGGCTGTAAAATCCAGCATTGATGGCACTGCTCCCGCCAAGAATCCGACCTCTTGCATTAGGTACACCATCCTCCGACGTGAAGGCTTGGGCAGGTGAATCAAAGGTATCCACATCATTTAGTGTCGACAAGAAGCCATCTTGACTCATCACATTGGATTTTCCGAAAGGAACACCACCACGTTCAAGTAAAAGAACTCTATACGACTGTGACAATGTCGCAGCCAATGGGCAACCAGTGGTGCCTCCTCCAACTACAATGTAATCATAGTAGTCCTCTGATGGAAATTCAGTGGCATTTAACACAAACTTGAAATAATTTGGGTCTGTGAAGACATTCAACAAGCAACAAAAACTAGTATTAGACCTCCATTTCAAGATTGTAACTAACATAAATTAAGTCAATTTCTTTGCTAGCAAAACGGGACAAAACAACAGACCATAAATCAATAACAGATATAGAAACTTTGACGAAAATTTTGATCATTAATTACACATAATGTGAAAGACTCAACACAGTAATCAATGTATCATAGCGACAATGCTAATCTTTCTACCAATTTTCTTGTATTGTATCAGCTGCCAACTAAATGTTCTTGGATTGAGATTTGAAATACACAAACATTGAAATAAACCATAAACACAAAAACCTACAATTTCTTTTCCAAGAAACATAAGGAAAGAACAAGATTTACATTAAAGGATCACTGCTTACATTACAGCTTAACAAAGAAAGCAAGGCCTCTGTTTGGTTTCCAAGAAAAATAAGAGAAAACAATCAAACTTTCTATAATTCCAATCAGTTTTTCTCTCGTTTTCTTGCATTTTATAGAAACTAAACAACAAAGTAGTCAAGATTTCTATTAGTTTCAACCATTAATAAACAAACAACGGAAATTTATAAAGAACTGACCTGTTTGAGGGATAGGTCTTGCATGTGAAACAAGTGAACAAAACAGCACCAAGAACACAATGTATATCGAGAAAAGGCAAAAGGGTTTCTCCATTTATGCGTTTTTGCGGTGTTTCTTTGATGGGAGAGGATTTTCTTGGCCTTTCCTGAACGAGAAAGAGAGAGAGAGAGAAAGAGAGGGAAAATGAGAAATAGAGAGAAAGGCAGTGTAATTTAGTTAGTGATTCTGTTAAGAGGAGGGAGTTAAAGACTGGTTTTTGGACTATGATTCCGTACGACGAGGTGTATTTTAAGCAGTCTTGTATGGTGTTGATCACGTGGGTTTCCTTTATATTAAGAAAATTTATTGGCCATAACAGCACAAGGAGTAAATTATAAATTAGTCTCTATAGTTCTGAGAGAATAAATAACAGTCCCTATAGTTTCAAATAATAATTATTTAGTCTTTATGTTTTTTAATTTTCTTATAACTTAATTCTCTTTGGTGTTTTTAAATTTATTTTATTTTATTTTGAAAAATAGAAAAAAGGAAAAAAATTAAAATATATGGAGAATTGATGAAAAAAATGATATTTTTTAAATGAAATAATATTAAATTAAACATGATCAATATTAATCAAGATTAAATAATTAATTTTTAAAATAAAAAAGACTTGGTTGATTTTTTTGAAAATAAAGGAATTAATTTATAATTTAATCCTAACATATGTGAATGGGGCTTTATTGGGTGGTAAAGGACTTGAAGAATTATTTTTTTTCTCACAAAATCATAAGATGTTTCATATAAAATTATTCATAAATTAGACCTTGATGATAAAGATAAGTATCATAGTTGAGACTTCTAAAATCTAAGAAGCTAATATTAAATTAGAATGGTAATCTCAAATTTTTTAACATGAATTTTTTTAATAATAATAATTTTTTATGGTCTGTTTGAGATTTGAATCTTAGACGAAGATAACATAAAAAGTATGCACATTTATATTGAATAGTTATTGAATTAGAATTTGATTTGCTAGCATCAATTATTATTATCATTTGTTTTTTAGGTGTATTTGGGCAATTAAAATCAAATTAATGCATTCAAACCAACAACGCAACTGTAAAAGTTCAAAAAATTCAAACATGTTACATCTTGAAAAAAAATGGTTAAATTTATTTTTAATTAAAAAAATTGATGCAATATTTCCTATTTCCTTGGCTGCGGAAAGTATTTAATTGATTTTAGCACTTTCTTTTAGAGCTGGTGAGCTTGTGCAATCCATTTATGTATTCATCTTAGACAAAATGCATATCAAGAATAAATTAAAAATTAGTCTTTTTAATTTTGAAAAATAAATAAATTATTTTTTTTGTTTTAAAATTTAATTATTTAATCTCTTAATCATTATTGATCAATATTGATTTAATATTATTTTATTTTAAAAAATATTTTAATTTTCCATTAATCTTTCTAATGTGTCTATTTTTTTTCCTTTTTATATTTTTTAAATAAAAATTAAATTAAATTAGAAAATAACATTAAACAAACAAATAAATAAATTGTTTTTAAAATAGACGTTACTAATTAATTTGTTTCTCAAAATTAAAGAAATAATTTATAATTTACTCGGCCAAGTGATTAAAAATAAAAATGATCAAATTACAAGTAGATTTTAAAATATAGGAATTAATTAATTAGATGTTGAAACTAGAGGGACTATTTAGTTCTTTTTGAAAAGCATGGACTAAGTTATAATTTATTGGCAGAACTTTGAACTAGGCTAAGACCAGGACGGTTTTAGGGATTTCACACATAATCAAGATGTTTTTTGGCTCAGGTCTTCCTCTCCAGTGGCTGTGGCTGATAATTAGAACCAGAGAAGACAAAAAGTTGCTGACTTGAAGCCCAAGACTTAATCTTTAAGAAAAACCCAACTCTCATTGGCTCTCCCTTTTTACCAAAAACACTCACCTTTCTACTCAACCAGACTTCAGAGCACAAACACAGAAATGGATCTTAATGACCTGAACAAAGTATGGGAAATCAAACCACTGAAAAAGATTGGAGAAGAAGATGCAAGGAGAGTTCTTGAAAAGGTAGCAAAACAAGTACAACCCATCATGAAAAAACGCAAATGGAAAGTCAAAATCTTGTCTGAATTCTGGTAAAAATCCAATCTTTCTGTGTTTTTGGGCTTGAAAGTTGATATTTTTATCTGGGCTTTCATTTTTTTTTGGTTTTTTTAAAATGCAGTCCTGCAAATCCAGCTCTTATGGGGTTGAATATAGGAGGGGGTGCAGAGGTTAAGTTGAGACTGAGGAGGCCAAATAACGAGTGGGATTTCTTTCCTTATGAGCAGGTTCTCGATACTATGTTGCATGAGCTTTGCCACAATGAGTTTGGCCCACACAATTCTGATTTTTACAACCTTCTTGATGAAATTAGAAAGGTAATTTCTTGTCCGGCTATTGAATTCTTACTCAACATTGCATTGACATGGTTGGCTAATTTTGAATGTTATTTAGTAGTGCAGTGATTGCAAAGTCCTTAGTAATTCCATATTTTGCTCTGTATCAAAATGTAGTTTCAATTGCATAATTGGCTGGTCAAAATGCTATTGAAGCCCTTCAATTTTGAGTTAGAGGCTTAGAGCATGCTATGACTATAAACTTATGCATTAATGGCTGACAGCAGTTCATCCCGAGTAATTCTACTTGTTGGTATTGAGATAGCAATCTAGATTGAATCATTCGTGGGGTGCACTTATGCATAACATTTGTAAGTATCTAAATTAAGTAGAAAAACACTTTTGTAGTTGGATATCCAGTCTGTTGGTAGGGTTATGTAGACAGAAAAATGAACATATCTGTGTTAGTAATCAGCCTTCCAAGACTGTTTAACTTGTATCTCCTGTCCCAGAAGAAAGTTGAAATGTGCAAAAATATCTAAACTTGCCTTTTTATATGTGGCTGTAATCCATATGTAAGACAATGATTTCCTCAAGTACAAAGAACTTTTAGAACTGAGGTTGCAAAAAAGGAGTGAGTGCATTATAAACACTGGGCTGTTATTTTATAAAGAACTTTTAGAACTGAAGTTGCTAAAAAGGGAGTGAGTGCATTATAAACATTGGCCTGTTATTTTATAAAGAACTTTTAGAACTTAAGTTGCAAAAAAGGGAGTGAGTGCGTTATAAACATTGGCCTGTTATTTTATAAAGAACTTTTAGAACTGAAGTTGTGAAAAAGGGAGTGAGTGCGTTATAAACATTGGCCTGTTATTTTATAAATAACTTTTAGAACTGAAGTTGCGAAAAAGGGAGTGAGTGCAGTATAAATCCTGGCCTGTTATTTTAGAGACATCCATTGCTAACACGAGGGAAAGAAATGGTGATTTGAGAAACTCAAAGGAAAGTTCTGATTTTTTGCACTGTGGACTGTAGAATTGATTTGTTTTCCTAATTGCTGATTGTTCTTACTTAGTAGTGTGATGACTGCACAGTACTTACAATTCCAATTGTTGTTTTGCATCAAGCTTGGGCATATGCTAATTCTAATTGTTGTCTTGATAATTACTTGAGTATTGCAATGATTCAAAGTCATTAATGATCTCATGATTGTCATGTGTGAACCTTGGTATGACTTTATATTGTGTGTGACCTCTCTGTCTATTAGCTGAAGTTTTGGATTGGATGTTCAAGCACGGTCATAACTGGCCGGTATTATGTTATTGTTTTGTGATCATATACTTAAATAGCAACTAATTGGGTGAATCAACACCACTTGTTAAATAAGAAACACAGTGAAGCGAGCCTGTGTAATCACGATTTTAGCTTCAGCCTTATTTTGAATTTCCGTTGTGCTTTATTTCTATCATGAAATTAGAACTGTGTACCGATGCATATTTGTTGATTGTGACAAATTGCAGTAGAATTGTTGGAACTTGTTATACAGGCAATGCTTTTGATTCTGTAGGTGGCAATATCAAAGCACATGTGGAGTTTCTGTAGGAATGTGAGGAACTGATGCTTTGTTCATCCTTGCTGTCGCTAACTGTATATGTGTGTAGACATTATTATTGTTATTATGTAATACAATCTCTGTGTTTTTCTGTAGGAATGTGAGGAACTGATGGCTAAAGGAATTAGTGGAACTGGGCAAGGATTTGATCTTCATGGGAGACGGTTGGGTGGTTTCTCCCGTCAACCCCCTCTGTCATCATTGCGCCAATCTGCTTTGGCTGCCGCAGAGAACAGAGCACGACGCGATACTCTCTTGCCATCAGGTCCTAAACGTGTAGGTGGTGACAGCAATATTAAGGCTGCTCTCAGCCCAATACAAGCTGCTGCCATGGCTGCAGAAAGGAGATTACACGATGACTTGTGGTGTGGTTCCAAATCTTCAGATGGTGTCATTTGTACCCAAGGAAATGCTGAACGTGCTGAAGGCTCTCGTACTTCCGTAAGTTCCAAAGACGTACCTACCCAAACTTCACTTGGGACATCCATGAGTGGTAAGGAAGCAATAGGTGATCATCCAACATGGCAGTGTAAAACTTGTACTCTATTGAATCAGGTAAAATTACTCATAAATCATCATTGAATTTTCTTTTTAATTGAAGGTCAGACTGGTATGTGTTTTCGATTGCCTTTCTTCATGAACCTGCTGCCGGTTGTTTTCAGTTGCCTTTCTTAATGAACCTGCATTTAATTGTCAACATCTCTATTGCATTATGTCAAGCAGTTTTTTAAGAAATTTGAATCTTTTCCAGAGATGCCCTCTGTGTGCGTGGACAGCATGTGTGTGTGAAACTGTGAATTGCTTTCTGAACTCTGAAGTGTTGATATTATTGCAGCCAATGGCACTTATATGTGAAGCCTGCGGGACCCGAAGACATAAAGAAGTTGCCAAGTTCAAGGTTTGGTCTTGTAAGTTTTGTACCTTAGATAACAGTGTAGAATTGGACAGATGCATAGCTTGTGGAGAATGGAGATATTCATATGGCCCGCCAGTATCCACTCCTGGACCCTATATAGGCACTTGAGAAGATAGATAATAGGGCTAAGACATGCATCTGGATCTGTGCCAACCTGTGTATAGTGCTTTTTTTATTGTGATATGTGTAGCCTAACACATATAATTCTGTACTTACGTTGCATGCATACTATAAAGAGAATAATGATTAGATGGGGGATAATCTGTAACCTTTAAACTGAATAATTGAAATGATGATTTTGCTTGCATGGTGGACTAGTTAAGGTGCACGAGGTTTACATGAAACTCTGATTTCATCTTATCAGGAACTTGCTAGTTTCACTGATTGGCTGAGGCTGCAAAATGATGTTCAATCAAGAACTGTTTGATTCACTTACCTATCCTTCTCTACACAATTCATTTGTGACCTAACTGCCTGAGTCAACACTGCCGCTTGTACCCTAACTAGTCACAGCATTGCTTGGCAATTAATTTGCGGCAGGTTTGGTTTGTTGTGTTTTGCAATACTGCTTTTGTCAACGAATCAATGTCAACTTTTAGGCGACTTGTTGGGTGTGTTGAACACTGACTTTTCATGAACATTTCAACTATCCTCATCCCTAGTCCATATTTCTGATATAAGCAATTATGACTGTCACCTTGATAACATGTCAATTCGTTGGTAGTAGTTTCTGGGCACAATCAATGCAGAGAAAGTCATGGCTATCGGACAGTGCAACCTTGTCAAAACATTGTGTCCATAGGCAACAACTACAATGTCTCTGCAATGCCCATGAATAGGAGTCTGATTTGTTTGTAATCTGTTATTGAAGCTATGGTACTGAGGTCAGTGGAATTTTAAAGGGGTAATGGTCTTAGTTTGCTAGTGTATAGGTAGTGTTGAAGCTGTTGTCGGGAGGTCTCAGAGTCATGTCTTGTTGTCTTTATATAGATTCCAAGCCTGTAATGAAGCAGAAAGTAGGAACCAAAGCTGTGATGGTCAAAGGCAGCTTGGATAGGTTTTGAAAAAGCAAGACAAACTTCTCAACTCTAATGGATTATGTTGGCACTCAATTTTATAGGCACAAAAATGGGTTTCAATTTTAGTATTTTGCTATGAATACACATGCTATGTATAGTTTGGCGCTATCAGATGAGCTAGAAAATATGGCCAAGAGAGGAAGTAGGATCTTTGCATCTATTCCCATATCTTTTGGTTACCATTGTCAATGCCAACCACGCATGGGATGGGCCAAGATTCAGTGGAAATTATTGAAGGATAGCCCATTTTACAAGGTCGAAATGTTATCATGGTATTGCCCGATTCGAAGTTACTTGCAAGGGTTTGTGTGTCTTTTGGCTTGTGGGGTTAACATATCTTTAAGAGAAAAAGCTAATGACTTTGGGAAGTACATTGATATGTTAATGATGGCTACAAAACATTACATGATTTGTTAACAAGTTAATAATCCTAGGCTAGAAGAACATACGAGTTAGAATTCATGTAAAAGGTAGCTTATGTTATTTAACCATTGAATTAAAAGTATGCTAAAACAGACAATTTTTTCTTGAATTTTAGATTTAGTTTGAGAATGAGTTTCTAAACTTTTAATTTGTGTGTTTGATCTCTTTGATTTTAATTTTTTTAGATTTAGTTCATTTTATGATTTTCAGATATCACTTATTGTTTCTAAAAAAATTAATTATTGATATTTTGTTATGAAATTTTGCACAAAAATCGAGAAAAATTAAATCTATTTTTTTATACAAATTCTAAAACTTTTAAAGGTTAAGAATTATATTTATTTATTTATTGAACATTAAAAGGTAAAAAATTAAGCAAAATATAACATTGTTATAAAAGAAATAGAAATAATAAGAGAATTGAAGGAAATGATGACAAGAAAATGAAATCACTATAATGTGGATACAAGTGATAAAAACTTCAAAGTTTCTTTTATTCTCCGTAGAAAATTTGTATACTAACTAATAAACAATCAAGTCTATTTATAGGTTTCAAATTTGAGAAGAGAATTGAAAGTGACTATGAATAATCAATTGCATTATTTTTTCAATTTCTCATATTGAACGATGAATTGAATCATATTAAGAATCATGAGTAGTGAGGATATGACAAGTAGATGAATATGATGATGGATATTTATTATTTCATAACAAACATAACCTGGAATAATCTTAATTTTTTTGGAAACTCTAGATAAATATCACTAGATGATTTGCATCATAAAAATATTTATGTTTTTTTTTTTTTTTTGGATAAATAACATAAAACTAAAAAGTAGACTAAATCTTAAAAAAAAAAATCAAGCTAAAACACAAATTAGAAGTTCAAAAATTGATTTTCAAATAGACTAAAGTTTTTAAAAAGATTTGACCTCTTTAACGGTAAAAATAAGTTATAAGGAACGAGTCAATTGCAATTAACTTGTTAATCTCAAAGAACTGGTTTTGTAGTCAAGGAAATTTGCACTTTCTATATATATATATTTTTTTCCAATTCGAGAATCTATTTTATTCATTGCACCATGCAGACGTAAAATACGATTCTTAAAATTCTCTGAAAATAAAATTCAGTATTGATTAGCGTATATACTAATCTAAAAATACTATTGACTATTACAACGTACGTGTTGGAAATGTTTGAGAATTAGGATTGAATTCTTTCGATAAGAACGACAACAACCAACAGTCGTGATTGTTAACAAGTAATCTGAATTCAAATCTGAAAAAGTAAAATTCTTATGAATTTTCTAACGTGATATGAATAATATATATATTTTTTTTATCTTAATCTTATAGTTTTGAAAGCCGAAATCTCATGCAAAGCCCAGGAAGTCATTAATTTTAATACTAGTGCTAATAAGAAGTCATATAAACGTGATTAAAGAGAGATTTAAAGCCATGCATTTTGACAAAATTCCAAGAACGTGCAGTCGTCTCTGTTGACTGTTTGTCTAACTTGACATAGTCAGATCCCTTGCTCAAGTAACTTCAACACAAACAAAAAGAACTAATGATCTCCTTTGTTTCCTTCTTTCTTCCTAGTTTTGCTACGTGTTATTCTTAATAATTATCAATAAACAAAATAATATTAAATTAAAATGGTCAATATTGATCAATAAACAAAATAGTTAGATTTTTAAAGAAAAGGGATTGATTAATTTATATATAAAAAATAGAGGGATTAATTTATAATTCACTCTTTTCAACCCTTGTTGTGGTTGAACTTTCTTGGTGGTATGGGTAGGCTTGTGAATTGTGATGGATGAAAGTGAAAGTCAATGTCTGTGTCAATGTCAATGTCAATTTTTTCAATAAAAAAAAATGTCAATTCAATTTCCTTTTTTTCTAAATAGAGAATTTCTTTGAAATTTCCTCTAAGAAAATGATGTGTGCCATGTTTTGACTTAAACGAAAATTTACTCATTCAACACTCGTAGCTTCGAGCCTTTGTCATGGAAAGTTTTAGGGATGAAATTTCAACTGTAGAGGAAAAAATGGATACTTCTTTTGTTTTTTTTTTTTTAATTAGGAAAAGTAAAGGGTTTAGACCAACAATTATTATTATTATTTTTTTATTGTTTCACGTAATTTTCAATTAAGAAATCAATACCTATGTCTTAATCCCAATCCCAATCCATTCTTTTATAATCTAATCTTAATCCATCTCTCGTAAACATTTCATTAGCAAGAACAAGTCTCATGACAATTGACCTACCAACACCTCTTAAAATAAGTTTATATTAAGCTACGTAATTAATTGAGCCCCACTCATTCTTGATGCTTGCTAAAGTTACTTACGATCATGCTTACCAAGAAAAAAACTAGTAAATCATAAATTAGTTTCTCTACTTTTGAAAAAAAAATTAATATTATGGAGAGATTCATTATAAATATTTTTTAAATTAGTAAATCATATTATTTTTATCTATTTTTTTATTATTTTTATTTTAAAAATTGAAAAAAGCAGACAAATAGATATTATGGAGAGATTCATTATAAATATTTTTTAAAATAAAATAATATTAAATTAAAAAATAAAAATACTGTTCAAATATTTTCATACTAGAAAGACTAATTAATTGGATTTTTTTAAACTAAAAGAATTAATTTATAATTTACTCAAGAAAAAACTAGACCTCCTTCTCATTCCTTTAAACAAAACTACCATTAAGCTACACACTCGCACGCTTAATCAAGTGATTAAGTGATATTAGAATTCTTAAGAGATGTTCGTTTTAATTCCTACCGATAAAAACTAAAAATAAAAATAAATACCTCCTACTAAAACGGTTTGTGAATATTTAGATTTTTCCTATAAAAATTGATCTTATGAATGAATTAATTATTTTTTTTGAATTTTAAAAAACAAATTAATTAGTTTTTTATGTTATTTTTTTTATTTTAAATAAAAAATAAATAGATATTAGAAAAATATCGGTGAAAAATAAGACATTTGAGAATTAAAAACTTCTTTTGTAAAAAGATAAAATACACCCATAACTCATATTTTTAGCACAATTAAAGTTTTTTTTAAAAAAAGAGAGAGAGAGAGAGAAAAAATCTTTTAAATAATGGATCCAAAACCTCAAAAAAGAATTAAAAATTCCACGAGATACCCAAAGTCATCGCCCACAGACAATTAAAACCCTATCACTCACGCGCATTTACCGTGCTCACACCCTTGCTCTGACCCTTCCTCTCTGGACCCCACTTATCTCTCATTGGCCCTTGTCCGCAACTCTCCTTCAAAGCGCGTGACACTATCCTGCCCTTTAAAATACCGATTCCTTCCCTCCCTTACAAACCCCCCCTTCCCTCTTAGACGAAAGGATTCCCTTTTTCCTATCCGTTTCACCTCTCTCTCTCTCTCTCTCTCTCTCTCTATCAAAATTTCTCAACTCGTCCGATTCGATTCAACTCACCGAGTCATGAAACCGATTCAACCACCACCACCACAATCCCCCTCCCCCACCAATCGTCACACCAGCAACAGCAGACAGCGTCGCCGCCCTGACCTAACCCTCCCTCTCCCTCAACGCGACCCTCAGCTCGCTGTTCCCCTCCCTCTCCCTCCCTCCAGCGGCTCAAACTCCTCATCCTCCTCGTCATACTCCGCCTCTGCAGCTCGTGCTCAACTCAGCTTCTCTGAACTCGACCGAAGTAACCGAATCGGAAGCGGCAGCGGAGGCACCGTCTACAAAGTCGTCCACCGTCCGAGCAGCCGCCTCTACGCTCTCAAAGTCATCTACGGCAACCACGATGACTCCACTCGCAACCAGATCTGCCGTGAGATCGAGATCCTCCGCGACGTTAACCACCCTAACGTCGTTAAATGCCACGACATGTTCGATCACAACGGAGAGATCCAGGTCCTTCTAGAGTTCATGGACGGCGGTTCCTTAGAAGGGATCCACATAAACAACGAGGCGTATCTATCCGACGTGGCACGGCAGATATTAAACGGCATCGCATACTTACACAAAAGGAAAATTGTGCACAGAGACATTAAGCCCAGTAATCTCTTAATTAATTCTCAAAAGAACGTTAAGATAGCTGATTTTGGGGTTAGCAGAATACTAGCACAAACAATGGATCCTTGCAATAGCTCAGTAGGAACAATTGCTTACATGAGCCCAGAAAGGATAAATACTGATTTGAATCAAGGATTGTATGATGGGTATGCAGGGGATATATGGAGTTTAGGGGTTAGCATTTTGGAGTTTTATTTAGGGAGGTTTCCCTTTGGGGTAGGAAGACAAGGGGATTGGGCGAGTTTAATGTGTGCAATTTGTATGTCACAACCACCCCAAGCACCCGCGAATGCGTCCAGGGAGTTTAGGAATTTTATTGCTTGTTGTCTGCAGAGGGAACCGGCCAGGAGGTGGACTGCGAATCAGTTGTTGCAGCATCCGTTTATTGTGAGAAGAGGTGGAGGTGGAGAGGGTGGTGGTGGTAATGGTACTCACAGTTTGATGTTGCCGCCGCCTCCTAGGCCAATTGCTTAGTAGGTTGTTGTTGTAGTTTTTGAATTGAATTATTGTGGGTTATTGTTGTTGTTGTTTATGATATTAATGTGTATTTTTTCTTCTTTTTTGGGTAATTTTTTTTTAAATTTTTGATATGGTGGGTTCGGATTTTTTATATTAGGTGGAAATGAGAAAATGTCACAACACCTTTTAGTTTTAATTAAACTAGATTAAGATGCCTGCGATTATGATAAACACAATTTTTTTTTCTTTTTTTGGTTTCTTTTGTTATTGCTTTTTTTTTGTTCTAGCTTTTGATGAGTTTGATTTTGATGTTTAGGAGGAAAATGAGAACATGGGGGTTTTTGTTTTCAATTCAATGTTTCTTGAGTGAGTGGTTGTTCTTGTTGTTTTTTAGGGTTTTGATATTACTTGGAAAGGTTAGAGTTTTGGAGATTTGGTTATGGAAAATGGTTGGATTTTTTTGTTAGTGCTAAGTTTTTTTTTGCTATTTCTGGTTTACAATTTTAGGTGGGTGTATTTATGGTAAAGATTCATTCTGAATCTGTTAGATGCGTACATGACATAAGATTTTTGTTTTTGCTTTTGTAGCATTAATGCATGACATCTCTCTTTCTCTCTTATCTAATACTGCAATACAAATACCTTTCTCTTTTGTCTCAGCATGTCAGTGTTTGTGTTGGCAAGGTTGGGTGAGTTTACAGCCTAAAAACCCAGAATATCATGTGTATTGTTTGACAGCATTTTGTCCGAATGAAAATGTAGGATTATGATCCGAATGTGGAGGAAGCTTTAAGTTTTTTTAATTCCCCATGTGAGTATCTATCATGTGATTTTACCCTTCTTTCCCCTTTGTGCAAATATTACTGTCGAAAATCTTCTTCTGGTATGAAATTTATGTAATCAGTCATTCCGTGATGCATTCAATTCTGGGTAATTTTGTTAGAGATTAGGGTGTCATTATTTTGGAAACTAACATTGAACTCTCATCATTCCCATAATGTTGCAAAAAGTTACAGAGAGCTGTTGTATAATTAGTTAACTAATCTAATGATTCATTTGGTCTAGCTTTCTGTAAATGGTCAAAAAGACACCTTTTCTTTTCTCCCGTTACCCAAATGGTTCAATCCATTTCTTCATATTTGTTTGTGTGTGAAATTTTGCTTTCTTCGGTGATGACAGGACAATTTTTCTGTGTTAGCTAAACTTTGCACTACAAAATTTGCTTAAAATAATTGTCTGGGTATAATTTGTTTCTTTTTGAATGTGGGGGCTAGTTGTCTGCAATTGCTGTGATGAGTTGTTAATTATTGCCTTTTGGGAGGAAATTGATTGGATACAGTGTTTGTTTTACTAGTTAGTAGTTAATAATGTTGCTGCAAATAATAACTCTAAATTCACTTTGTCAGATTTTGGTTTAAAGGTGTTTTTTACCCCTGAACTATTGGGGTTATATATAGTATATTGAGGTTTGTAATATCAATTTGATTAATTTTGTCTTTTAACCATCTTGTTCCAGACAAATATTGTCTATTTGTTTGATTTTGATTGTTATCAATTATCAACTTTTTTATTGAAAAAAATTTTAATTTTGGGTATTTTGAGTTGAAATTAATAAAAATTCAATCTATTTTTTCTAAACAACTTTTTTTTTTTTTTTTTTTTGAGGTCGGGAAGCATTTTTTAATTTTCTTAAACATTAAATATTAACAAGATTGTAAAAAATAAAAAATTTTTTAATGATTCTAAATTATGTTGGGGGCTAAAAAAAAATCATATAAATTTATGTTAATATGATTTTTAAAATATTTGTATGATTGAATATGTAGTATCTAATCAAATTTAAAGTAGGTTAATTTTAAAAATAGCATATGCAAAAATTCTGAGAATTGTACTAAAATTATCCATGTAATTTTATGACTTCTTCACAGCTTCTAAAAAATTTGGGTTAATTCGAGCATAATTTCTACCACCAAGCAAATAAAAACGGATTGGTAATATTTATTCAAAACATTATAGTTTAAGGATAAAATTAACCTAATAGATAACGTTGAGTTTCATGCACCACAACCCTAATAATTCAGGGCCAAAAAATGACATTAAGCGTCAGACTTTTGCTCATGGTTCACATGGCAGGCAGCTGCCAAAATAAAACTAAAAAAAAAAAAAAATGGAACCATGCACATAGGGGTTGGCTACTATTGGTACCTTTCCAACATCATCCTGGAGGACCACTACCTGGTTTTATTTTTCCTGCTGAACTTGGTCCTGTAACCAGACAGGGAGCAGCCTACGGTCGCACACAGAGGTCAACTGTTAACCGTATTATCTGACTGTTAGTTACCTCGGCAGTCTTTTCCAGCTTTTACCGACCTGCATACATTTACTTAAATGAGTTGTGAACGGTTCTTTTCTATGTCAGCGGACTTCACGTCTTAGCTGCCATGGTAATTGTGGAGGTAAAATAAAGGCTATGACTTCGTAGATATATTAATAAATTTATTTTAAAATTAAAAAAAATTACCCTTAAATAATATTATTATTACTTTTATTTGGATGGAATGCCGCTAGATTTTTTACAACTTCCTATAACATAAATAACACGCTGGAGAATCTGTTAAATAACAGTGTGCATGCACTGATTTGTAGTTTTTGGTGTATGAATACGTGGATCAATCTGGGGGGACACTTTCACGGAAAGGGGTGAGTCGTGAACGGTTCTTTTGTATGTAAACTTCACATCTTAATTGCGATGGTAACCTGAGATCACAATTTATTATAATAATAAAATAATAATTATCTCAATTGATGTCGTAAATATATTAATAACGGTTAATAAATTTATTTTAAAATAAAAAATTATTAAATAATAATTATTTCAATTGATGTCGTAAATACATTAATAACTATTAATAAATTTATTTCAATTATAATTTATTATAATAATAAAATAATAATTATTTCAATTCATATCGTAAATAAATTAATAATTTTTAATAAATTTATTTTAAAACAAAAAAAATTGTTAAATCTAATAATATTTAATTTAATAGAGACAATAATAATGTTATATAACGACAATAATAGCATTTCATTTAAATAACGATAATAATAGCGTTATAAATACTATTATTATCGTTTAAATACTATTAATGCTATTAATAGTATTTAAACGATAATAATAGTATTTATAACGCTATTACATTAATAATATTTAAACGATAATAATGGTATTTATAACGTTATTATTGTTATTATAGTATCTAAACGATAATAATAGTATTTATAATGTTATTATTGTCGTTATTTAGATGAAATACTATTAGATTTTCTATAGCTTCCTGTAATAGAAATGAACATCACGGAGAACATGTTAAATAACAGACATTATTATTTTCCAACATGTGCATGCACTGTATGCAGTTTTTGGTGTACGAATATGTGGATCAATCTGGTGCACACTTTCAAGTAAAAGGGTGAATTGCATATATTCTCTTGGCTTTTTGGATCCTTGTTCTTGCAAGGCGTAGTCGGCTCTAGGTGTATGGATGGGCTTCGTTACTTTCTTGAGATTTTTCTTAATCTTACAAGTGCCCAGGTTATTGAGACTAGGACCAGTAGAGTCAAGCCAACGTGTTAAATTGGCAAAGATTTGGTGTGATTTGTATTTCAAAGTGGAAATGCTTTTAGCCCGTCATTCTTTTTCTTTTTATATATCCAAAGACATAATCATAGAAAAGCATATCCTATAGGGCTAGCTATATTCTTTGTAAGGTTAAATCTACTTTTAGCTATTTCATATCATTCTCTAAGTATAGAGTATGGACCGTTTTTAGGTCATGTCATTTGGTGAAAAAGGGAATGATCGATTCGACATTTATCCCTTTGCTTGAAAACTAAGTGGGTAGAAGAAAGCTTTCTTAATACTATGTATATTAAAAAAACTAAACTAAAATCATTAATTACTATTTATTATACTATTTGAAATATTATTCATTCACACTTATTTATACTATTCGCTCGGACTTATTTGTATTATTTCTTTCACTATATAGTGGTATTTTTGTAGTTTTTAAAAATTTTTAAGACATTTATGATGAAAGTTTTCGTAATATTACACTTTGATCTTTTTAAAAAAAATGTTAATTTTTTAGTTTGTAAATATTTTTTATTTGATTTTGATTTCATTTTCCGGTTTTATTTTGATCACTTTGGTCCTTATTTTTTTCTCTGATTTTTTAATTAAAAATTTTAAGGTAAAAAGATATTTAGAAAAAAATAATTTACAAAATAAGGTTTTAACTAAAAACGTGGATAGAGATAATAAATAAATAATATTTTTTAATAAAAAATGATAAAAATGAATGAATTTTTATTTATTTTTCATTTGAAATATTTTGGTTTGATATAATTTGATAAACACACAATATAACACGAGATATTAAAATAAAATAATTTTATATATTTTATCCGATACATGACATAGCGCAGATAAAAAAACTAGTAATATTTAAAATCTGTCTATACATGAAAAACCACTAAAGCCATTGAAAATCATAAATTCACATACACAAGCCACATAAGCTCATGGGCTGAAGTTAAGCTAAAAGCCTACAACATTTGAGAAGCCAGTAGACCAGTAGGCCTAGGTAATTATTATTATTATTATTATTTATTTTTTTTAATGAAGGATCAAGCAGATCAGGAAAGATTTTTGACCATACATTACCATACTTAATTAATTGGTTAACCAAAATTTATTTTTATTAAAAAAAATTGACTGAGCCTATAATAGTTCGGTTTACTTGGTCTTTCTTGGAGTAAATCATAAATTAGTGCTTTATTTTTTAGAAACAAATTAATTAGTCCTTTTTGTTTCATAAATTAATTACCTAGTCACTATATTTTTAAATTCTCTTGCAACTTAATCATGTTTATTCTCTTTTTAATTTATTTTGATTTTTTATTTTAAGAAATAGAAAGGAAAAAAAAGGTAAAAATATGAAATTACCGATATAAAAAATGACACTTTTTTGAAATAAAATAATATTAAATCAAGCATAATGAGTATTGATCAACAAACTAAATAATTAATTTTTAAAACTAACAAGAATAAATTAATTCATTTTTAAAACATGGAGGGACTAAATTTTAATTTACTCGTCTCTCTTGCATCGAAAGTAACATCGAACTTTTTTACAAGGTGATATATATATATATATATATATATATATATATATATATATATATATATGCACCAAAATGGCATAAACGTACAATTTATTCTTTCTAGAATTTCATTTTTTTCAACTTTCTTAAAGTCAAATCCTTTTTCCTTTTTTCCCTTTAAAGTATAATTCCTTGCCCTTTCATCCCCATAATGATTGATTGATTAATATGTAGACCTTTCACTTGCAATCTTAATCACAACTAACCACCTTATCATAATCATTGATTAACGTTTTTTCTTCATAGTTGGAATGGATTGCCAAATCATTGACCTAGATACTTGACTATACAAATACAAGGAAAATTCATGTACTGAAAGTAGGAAATCATCAAGATGCCATCCTTGATCATTTGGAGAGAGATCATTTGTTTAATACTTGTATATTTTATCACTAAGCAAAAAGTTGCCGCATCAGCGGCAGTAGGTCCATATTTTGGAAGCAAAAACACAACCATTCGTGGCACCAAATCCTTCAGTAATCTTCAGAACGTCCTCTCATCTTTGCTTTTAAATGCTAGTAGTGTTGGCTTTTACAATTACAGTTTCGGCCAAGAACCAGACACAGTCTATGGTCTTTATCTCTGCCGAGGTGATGTCTCCATCGGTCTATGTCGTGAGTGCGTTGCAAACACACGCAGTGACGTCTCACAGCAGTGTCCTAACGGCTCCAAGGCCATTGTATGGTATGAACAATGCACTCTACGATACTCGAATCGGAACTTCTTTGGTGTGTCAGACGCAGAACCATACGGGTATGTTTATTTTGATAAAAAACTCGAAACACCGGATGGTTTAGCGAAATCTTTTTTACCGAGATTGGTACAATCCATCCGACAGTCGCAATTGATGTTTGTGCAAGACAGTTTTAATGGAAGTGGGAATGAGATGAGGTATGGTATAGTACAGTGCACTAGAGATCTCAGCCTTGATATTTGTACTATGTGTTTGAATGGATTGCTTAATGTTTTGAAGTTATGTTGCCAAGAGAAGTACTTAACATATAGCATATTATTACCAAGTTTTACTTTGAAGTATGAAGATTTGCCATTTTGGTTGGAGCAACCACCTCCTCCTCCACCAGTACTCCCAATCCAACCAAAGGAAGGTAAGCTTGCAACTATATATATAATCCTTTCCCTTGTATTTTTTCTTTCTTTCTGTATAAAGTACGAACAGAAAAATACTGTCAATTCTTGTGCCTGCTTCTAGGTTACTTGCATATATAGTGGCATAATGGATTATTCGAACACATACGCATGTGCGACAATCCGAAATCATCCTTTGATCCATGAGAATACACTCTTACAGATAAAACGAACATATCAGACTGACTAAATGTGTTACTTAAGCCTATTCGGACAATTCTATGTCAAAAAAGAAATGTTCATATCCATGTTTGATATTTCTAGGTCCCAGAAAATTATTGTTATCATTCAGGAATTTTGGTTTCTTACAGGAAGTAGAAAATCAAAGACTTCAAGAATGGTTATAATAGTAACAACGACTTCAGGTTTCTCTGTAGTTTTTATACTATTCTGTGGCTTCATCTATCGCAAAAGGCAAATGAAAAGAAAAAAGAAAGGTAACTAGTTCAGCTTGTGAAATATGTGACAATATAATTGAAGGAAATTCTTCAGATACGCTATTTATATGGACTAGGTGTTTTCACAGGAAAGAATGGTAGCAATAGCAATCATGATGTGCTCATACAAGAAATGGGTATTGAATTTTGGGGTGATGGTATTCCTGAGGAAGAATCAGGGAACCCTGACCTTCCTATCATTCTTTTAAGCATAATTCGACAAAGTACTTCTGATTTTTCTGATGAATCTAAGCTTGGAGGAGGAGGGTTTGGCCCTGTTTATAAGGTAAGTTTAATGTCTTACTAGGCTAATTGGTTACAGAGTATTTTGGATTTTTGGTTAACAAGGAAAAAAATTTCTAACCTTTTTTTTAATTTCTGATTTGGATCCCGAACTTGTTTTTTTTCTCAGCAATTAAGTCATTTTGTCTTATTGATCAATCTCATATGATTTTGTATGCACGTAAGAGGCATATAAGCCATTAAAACAACGATACGTGTTCTCTTACGTGCGTCTAATATCATTTAAGATTAATCAATACAATGAAATTACTTAATTACATATTAGGAAAAAAAAATCAAGATTCAAATAAGAATGCTAAGAATTTAGAGACTGTTTTGCTTTCGACCAAAAGTTCAGAATATTTTATAACTAATTAACCTTACTATTACTTCGCTAAATCTAATTTTTACCGATTTATGCTTATTTTCAGGGTGAATTACCAAATGGAAAGCAAGTAGCTATCAAAGGATTCTAGTCAAGGCTTGGTGGAATTCAAGAATGAAGTTATTTTAATCGCTAAGCTGCAACATAGAAATCTTGTGAGACTATTGGGTTGTTGCATTGAAGAAAATGAAAAGCTACTTGTCTATGAATACATGCCTAATGGTAGTCTTGCCCTTCACCTCTTTGGTATGGTCCTCATGGCTCCCACTTTTCAATCTCTAAATTTGCCTATTCCATTTGAGTGTATATAAATTTTATCCTTAAAGATAGAGGACAGATTAGCATTCTAATTACTCATAGATGTGAATTTTGGTTTTAGATACAGAAATGAGTGTAAAATTAGATTGGAACTTGCGGGTCAGCATTATCAATGGAATAGCCAAAGGCCTTGTCTATCTGCATGAGGATAGCCGACTCAGAGTGATTCACAGAGACTTGAACGCCAGCAATATTTTGTTGGATCATCAGATGAATCCCAAAATTTCTGATTTCGGAATGGCAAAAATTTTCGGAGGTGACCAGAAGCAAGCAAATACAAACAGAGTCGTCGGTACATAGTATGTCCATACTTTCTTCTTCTTTTCTAGCGGCCTTATCCCATTTCAAGGTCAACGTCTTCGGAATCCAAAGGCATTTGAGGAGCCATCTAAATGTTAGAAATAGGCTTTCTTTTCTGACAATGCTTGGATTTGGACTAATTTATCTTCTTTGAAACAGCGGATACATGGCCCCAGAATATGCAATGGAAGGTATATTTTCAGGGAAGTCAGATGTTTTTAGTTTTGGAGTTGTTTTGTTAGAGATTATTGCTGGGAAAAGGAATGGTGGGTTCTATCTTTCCGACCATGGTCAGAGCCTTCTCACATACGTACGTATTTAATTGTTCTTGTATTTTTTATTAAAGATTAATATTTAATCTGCTTTTATATAACATGATAATTCTTCGATCCGTTTTAATATTTCTAATTGAATCAATTTTATCATTAAATATATATTAAGTGTCTAATATATTCTTTTAGCAAGATTTTCGAGCTTAATTATTGAAATTAATCATGTGATTTAGACATAAAAACCTTTTATTTGACTGATTTATAGGGATATTTTAAGAATAAAAATTACTCATGTGCAAATTATGTAATTAATTTATTCGGTTTGAAAATTTTAACAAAAGAGTAAATTAAAAATTTAACATATATTTTAAAATAAAATTAATTCAATTAAAAATATAATAACGCAGCAGAGATAACTCGAACTATTAACTCTTTTTCTTGAAAGATAGTTGGGCAATTTTCACTTATAAACCAATCCACCTTTGAATTTCTCATGCAGGCATGGAATTTATGGCATGAAGGTAAAGCAATGGAGATTTTGGATTCAATTTTGGAAAAAACATGTGTGGTTAGTGAAGTTCTCACGTGCATACACGTTGCTTTACTATGTGTTCAAGAAGATGCCATTGATAGACCAACCATGTCCACTGGGGTTCTGATGCTAGCAAGGGATGCCATGACACTCCCCAAACCAAAACAGCCTGCATTTTCTGTCGGAAGAATGGATCAAACACAGGTTTCATCTAGCGCCAGTTGTCCTGTCAATGATATGACAATTTCTGACTTTTTACCTCGGTAATTGTTTAACATTGCTATTACTCCGTTGAGTATTGATTTTGAAGAACAATGTGAGGTATAGGCTTCAGTATGCTGTAAATGATGTTTATATTTACCTGAAAATGATTCAATAATTAGCAAATTATATGGTCCGATTTCTTCGGCCACATTGGGGTTGATGTCTGAAATAGAAATAAATACAAAACTTCTTTTATATACTAATTTTTTTACTTGGACTACCCTACAAATCAAATAAAATACATAAAATTATTTTATTTTGATATCTCGTGTTATGTTATACTATTAAAATATACTAAATCAAAACTGAATAAAAATTCATTTAATTATATCATTTTTTAATCAAAATTTTGTATTTGACTAATTATTCTTTATATTTTCATAAATTTTTTATTAAAAAAAATTATTTATTTATCTCTATCCACATCTTTAGCTAAAACCTTATTTTATAATTTTTTTAATATCTTTTTGTCTTAAAATTTTTAATTAAAAAAATCAGAGAAAAGAAAAGGCAAGACCAAAATGAAACAAAAAAATGAGACCAAAATCAAATAAAAAATATTTACGGATAAAAAAAATAATATTTTAAAAAAAAACAAAGTGTAATGTTACAAAAATTTTCATAATAAATATCTTAAAAATATTTAAAAACTATAAAAATATCACTACATAGTAAAACAACATGAATGAGTCTAGGTGAACAAGTATTTTAACTAGTACAGGGAATGATAACTAATGGTTTTAGTTTAATTTTTTTTGTAAAATGTAGATTTATTTTTAGATCTAACAAATTTTTTCAAAAGATTCAAGTCAAAATATTGCGAATTGATGAAAGTTTATTCGGAAAAAAAAATGTAAAGTAGAATTCATTTTGATCGTTCTCGTTCTTTCAATCATGAGTTTGGAGATTGGACCATTGCTCTTGCTCCATTGAGGTTTGATTTTGAAGGACAATGGAAGTCATAGGTTTTGGTATGCTGTTAATGATGTTTATATTTAACTGAAAATGATGTAATAATCAGAAAATTATATGGTCTGGTTTCTTCTATAGATGTATAAATGATTATTACAGATTAGAAATCAGGCTTGTTTTGGTTATGATTTTGATCGTGAAGTCTATGATTTCTCTCGTGATTACTAGGGATCTATCTTGGTCCATTTTATTGGATGGTATAAAGTCCAAACATTGTTTCCATCGACCTACATAGTGAATTATAAATTAATCCCTCTAATTTTGTCAAAAAAATTAAATGATTTTTTTATTTTAAAAACTAATTAATTAGTATCTTAACCAAAGTTGGTCATGGTTAATTTAATAGTATTTTGTCAAAAGAAAAAAAATTTCTTCTCTCATCAATTTTTCTATTTCTTAAAATAAAAAATAAACTAAATTGAAAAAGAATAAAAAATATTAAGTTATGAATAGATTTAAAAATATAAAGACTAAATAATTAGTTTTTGAAACTAAATGAATTATTTAATTTATTTCAAAAAAATTAGATGGACTGATTTATAATTTACTCATCACCAATTGCAATTGAAATCTTGAAAAATATAGCCAGTACTGGGGGTCCATGTCTGGTCCCATTTTCATTAACCAGATATTCAAAGCCATCAAATAAAGAAAGAGAGAACTTTGGATTGACCTCATGTTAGCCTCCAATTTATAACCTTTTCTTACTTAGGTCCCAAACCTATATTTATAACCAATTGTATCACTAATATATTCAAAACACCTCAATTGGATCCTTCTTTCATTAAATGTGCCTACTATTTCTCTCAATTGGGTTCCCAATCTTTTCTTTTATTTTTATTTTTATAGTTAATTAGGCCTTTAATTTGAATATAACATTAAAAACATTGATTAACCACCAAGAGATGTGATTTGGTAATAAAATTGTTGTCTTGATTTAATTAAGAATAAGATTTAATTCTCACTGTCAACAAATAACTAGTTATAATTATTTTTTAATAATATTATATTTGAGTTGGTTTGTCCTAAAAGATAATTTAGTAGTCGATAAAAAACTAAACGTGTTTTAATGCTCGCCTAGATTAGGAAGTGATGGATTATATGTGGTTACTTGAAGGATCCCATTACCTATAAAAAGAAGGAATATTGGTTGATGGAAAGATCAAATTGAGTATTCCGAGATCTCTTTAGAACCTAATTGATAAAATGTTGTAAGTTAGGGGACTAGTTTGAAGTTAACCCAATAGTTTAAAAAAAAAAACACAAGGGAAGGCGCTACTTCTTAGAAACTTCCTCATGCCAGCCACTTAGAACCCAATCATCTGGTCATCTTCAAGTTCCCATCTTCACAGGCACCGAAAGTCATAATAATACTGCTAATCAAGATTCAGAGACAGAAAGAAAGAAAGAGATTCAAATACAGATTTTTTATTAAACAACAGCAACAACAGCAAAGAAGAAGATGAAACAAGATAAAACTTCCTAAACTAAAGTTATCGCATTTAAGCAATTACCTGGGTCCCACCCAGGAGTCTTGTCTTGTTTCTATCTATCTTTCCATTGCAGCAACAAGTGGAGATCTAGAGACCCTCTTCATAGATTTCATCAAAAAATTATCTATCACTCAATGGTAATTAACTTCCTCTCTCTCTCTCTGTTTGATTACAATTAGTCTTTCATTTGATGTTTAGTTGGACTGCTTGTAAGCTTGATGATCTAAGCTGATTTCTCATTTTTTAAATTGACTTTCCGAAAGCTGGAGCCTTTACTGATAACTAAATTTGAAAAGTTGCAGCTTTAAACAAAAATATTGAAACTTTGAGCTGTTTTCTCACATATATTGCTGTGAATGAGAAAGTTTCTTTCTGGATTTTTGTATGGCAATAGAAAGTTAGAGACTAATCTATCCTTTTTTTGTTTCATTTCACTCTTGACTTGATAGGTTTTGATGGGCTTGAGTTTGATCTTGTAAGTTGTTGATCAGTTAGTCATTTGTTTACTGCAGATGATGTCCATCGAGGAGAAAGTAGACCTTGAATCTGATGAGGAGATCCCTTTTAGTTCATCAGCAGCAGGAAAGAAAGTGCACCCTTTTGATTCCGAGAGAATTAGTATTGCCTCACATGTCGATATGTCCAAGTCATGGATTTTAAAGAGAATACAAATGGGTCCTTTTAGAAGTATATACGTTGTCTTAATGAAAGCCAAGATTAATATCCTGCTGCCTTTTGGTCCCTTGGCAATATTGCTTCGCTATCTTACTGGAAAGCATGTGAGTGTTACCATGCTTAGTTCTGAAGCAGCGTAATGTTATATCAGTGACTGTTCCTGAATTGTGGAATGCTTGAAACATTTATATTATGATGTTTTATATTGAATTTTGTCTGATATTTTGCAAATGTGTTTGATGGTTGATGTATTCTAATTTCCAGGAATTGGTCTTCTTGCTCAGTATGTTGGGTATCACGCCTTTGGCTGAGCGTCTCGGTTATGTAACAGAGTAAGTATCCCCATGTGAGATCAACTGTAGTGTTGAATTAGTTTTCTGATTCGTATATCACTTAGTACATTGCTAACGCATCACTTCACCAATCTTGGTGTTGCAGGCAGCTCGCTTTCTACACCGGACCAACAGGTAAATCTAATATTGGGTGTATTGTTTGGTTTTCAGTGACGGTTGAATATTCACAGAAACAACTCTAAATAATTTTTCGTATCTGTTTCATTTGACCTTTTATTGTTATTTCCTTTGTGAGATGTACAGTTGGTGGGCTTTTAAATGCCACGTTTGGGAATGCAACAGAGATGATAATATCAATCTATGCATTGAAAAGTGGGATGATAAGGGTTGTTCAACAATCTTTGTTGGGCTCCATCTTGTCGAATATGCTCTTGGTGCTTGGATGTGCTTTCTTCTGTGGTGGGATTGCCAATCACCGGAAGGTTCAGGTTTTCAACAAGGTAGATTGCTGTAATCTTATAGAATTATTGTTCTGGACATTGTACATAGTGTGGACTGTTCTATGTTCATGCTACTCTGATGTGTCACAATTTACATTCAAGTGGGATTACTCTTGAAACAGGCAGCTGCTCTAGTGAATTCTGGATTGTTATTGATGGCTGTAATGGGGATAATGTTTCCCGCTGTACTTCACTTCACACACACAGAGGTTCATTTTGGCAAGTCAGAGTTGGCCCTTTCAAGATTTAGCAGCTGTATAATGCTGATAGCTTATGGAAGCTACCTTTTCTTTCAACTTAAAAGTCAGCCTAATCTCTACAGCCCTGTGAATGAGGTTGGCTTTTTCTCTATTTCATACCACTTGCTCTACAAGTTTCTTTATGGGCTAGCTTTTTAAATTTTTATGTTTCTTGTTAAAATGATGAATAGTATGCATAGATTGCTATCGTTTCTTTGCATATATCATTTATTCACATTTATATTATGAAGAAGCAATTTTTAAGATTTCAATGGTCCATAGAAAAAGCATATATATATAGACACCTGCTGTAGCAGTCCATGACTTTTTCCAATTTCCTTGTGTTATCATTTCTTGTTTATGAACAAATTTGAAATTTATATTCATGCTATTGAGTATAACTGCCAGCTCATGCTGCTTCAGTAGTTTTCCATTAAGGGTGTTCGAAGGTTAAGATCCTTTTTCCCATGAAGTGTTTGTCAATGTATGAGAACAAAGGATCTCATAGCATAAATAATAAAATGCCATGTCGTTCGGAGATTGATTGAGCTTAAAGCCGTGATGCTCCTAGTAATTGAATTCATCTGCACGCTTTGCAATTGTTGCAGGGAGGAGAAAACGATCAAGAAGATTCTGATGAAGAAGAGGTACCTGAAATAACTCAATGGGAAACAATTGGCTGGCTTGCAATTTTGACTCTGTGGATTTCTGTATTGTCGGGGTACCTTGTTGATGCCATCCAGGTTAACATTCATTTTAATCAAATTTTTACCCTTGTGTGTTTCTTTGACAGCTATATCTTTGTAATCCCACTAACCTTCCCAACTCTAAGCACTAATGTTTTCTAGTTGGCTTCTACTCGAATCCTGTGTTGCTTTTTCTTAAGTTTTCCTTGCACATGATCAAACCAAAATTCTGTTTTCTTATCTACCATCTTAGAAAACATATATTTGCTTCATTCAAGCCAATGCTCCAAATCAAAATTTTCACTTTTCTTTTGAGTAATTTATCCAAGGTAGCAAATAATGCTGTATCTATTGCTTATTAGCACTTGATTAACAGCATCGATGCTTTCTTTTCAGGGAGCATCTGACTCACTGAACCTGCCTGTGGCTTTTATCAGTGTCATCCTGCTTCCAATTGTTGGAAATGCTGCTGAGCATGCAAGTGCAATCATGTTCGCCATGAAGGATAAGCTTGTTAGTTCTATGAAGATTCTTATGCTGCTAATGTTACATTTCTTGTACCAAAGATATTTATGCTGACAGTGCTGTCTTATGGTTTTAAACTTATTGTACTCCTACTCATGTATCGATTTTCTTTACATGCTTGATTGACTCAAATTTTGTTCAGGACATCACAATTGGAGTTGCAATTGGATCATCTACACAGATTTCAATGTTTGTGGTAAGTTCTTGAAGTTTTACTGTATATCCATTGCCTAATCATGAACTGCCTTGATTTTTTTACTTGCGGAAATTTTCCTTTTGTTATCATTTTTCTTTTTCTGGCTACATTTTATTTAATGGGTCTATTTTGAGTTTTCAGAACTTTTAATAGTCAGATGGCTAGAGGTAATATTTACAGGTTGGGATAAGTAGGCTAATGACTTCTGTTTTGTTGATGCTTGTAGATTCCCTTCTGCGTGGTTGTTGGATGGTGTATGGGACAACCAATGGACTTGAATTTTCAACTCTTTGAGACGGCTACACTCTTCATCGCTGTGCTAGTGGTGGCATTTATGTTGCAGGTTTATGATTAGTCTTTTTAGCCCTAATTTTTTACTTAAAAGCAGTGAATATATTTTGTCCTTGTGTAATGCATATGGTGTAAGTACGTGCACAAGAACATCATGCAAACAGTCTTCGTAATCTACCTTAAACTCTACTTTTGTGGCAGCCAGCATATCCAAATGATCCAAATATGATCTGAATTTAAGATTATATAAGATATCATTAAAGAAAAATAAAGAGAGCAACTTAAATCTCTCTTGGATACTTCCGTATCACATATTTTCTTAGGTTTTACAATCTCCAAAATGCCAAATTACTGATGCTATTTACATCAAACCCACCTGTTCCTCCTATTAAAGTTTTCTTGATCCCAAACTGTCCTTTTCGCTTATTTTCTAATCTTCATTATTTTTTATTATGTCCAGGAAGGAACTTCAAACTATTTCAAGGGTTTCATGCTTATTCTATGCTACCTTATAGTTGCAGCAAGTTTCTTTGTACATGTTGACAATAATGGTAAGTTTCTTAAATATTGGATATTGTTCATTGAATTTTTGAGAAATTTTGCTTAATTGTTAGTTTTTCATTTTTGTTTTTTTTTTTTTTTTTGTGAAACCTTGTAATCAATAATTTGCTGGTATGATTCTTGACGCGGATGATGACTAGATATCCATTGATCTGGATGGCATTGGTTTGGAGCAAATTATTTGCAGTTTTGTGCCCAGAAAGTTTGCGGCTGCTCAATACAATACCTCTTGTGCAAATGTTGAAAAGTTACTGATCTTCCACAGATCCTGTTAGCAATCATGGAGAGCTGGGGTATAGTTTTTGTTTGCCATTCTCATTCTTTGGCAACGACGTCCCACATTTCTGCCTCGAATTTGGGAATCCTGTTAGCTGACCTTAAAGAAGTTTTTTTTTTAGTTATTTTTCACTTAGTTGGGATGTGCTCTCTACAACAGGGATCAATATTAGAGGGGAGAACACATCTAACATTTTCTCCCTTCCCCTCCGTGACAAAAACTGTATTATAGTGGTAACATTTTCTGCCTTCTCCTATATGACAAAAACTGTATTATATTGGTTTTGATCCTTATTAAGTATATTCCAAGATTATTTTGTGGCTAATCATTAACTTGATAAACTCTTCTGTATCTTTCTTTCTTTTCTTGTTTTTTTCACCTTTAGATTTTGAATAAAAATAACTTAGATGGAAGTGACCTTTACATTTATTTATCCAAAAATTCTACATTTATTTATCTCTTTTTCTTTCCTTTTATTTTTCATCCTCAGAGATTTAAATGTATGTCTCTCTGCTTCTAATTTTAACCTTTACATTTTGGATAAAAATAACCTGGATAAAAGTAAAGTGTATGTAGAATTTTTGTTTAGTTGTTGGAAGTGATAAAGTGAGAAATTTGGCTGCTCTTATAATTTTTTTTTTTGTTTTTCTAATATAATTTTTGTTTTTCTTGATTTCTTCCAATATCTTAAAAATGAAACAAATATAGAGAAAATGGAGTCAAAGTATTTAAAAGACAAAAAAAATATCCAAAAACAACTTCAGAAGTACAATAACAATAAAAACATTAGATGTCTCGTAGTTGTTGATAAAAATAAAAATAAAAACTTCACACTCATCTCCGCATAACTTTGTAAATATTAGATAAAAAAATGTAATCCACATTTCATTATCAATCATGCAATCCTTGGTAATGTAATTTTGCCATAATAATTAAAATTAAAAAAATATGTATTTCTTAGAATCGACTAAACCTTTTAGTCAGATGTGATTCGACACCTATTTAATTTAAGAAATGATGAATTTAATTTTAATTAATATAAAAATTAATTTGAAAATATACCAATATATATAACTTGGATTGATTTTATATATCTAGAATTTAATTTTATAAAATATTGATCTTGGTTTGGTCCAGTTTCGTATAAAACGAACATACATTACTTCAAAAAATGATGTCCGTAATTATTCTAAAATTTGGTTTACTTATTTCTTCTTTTCTAGAGTGAATTAAACCATTCAAAAAAGTTGATTAAAGTAAAAATGACTTTAATAGCTTAAATAAGTGGTATCAACTTCAAATTTTTATATACATATAAAATTATTTAAATAGTTATGCTCGCTTCATGCGTCCAATAAAATAACGAAAAATCAGTTTGGATTTTTGTATTTGAAATATCTTACAGATAAATAATAATAATAATAATAAAAGAATATAAGAATATATATTTATATGTACGTGTCTGGGGTCCGTAAATTTAACCGTAACATATAGAGTCTGCAGAAGTTTTGTTAGTTATTGTGAGGGATAAAATCAGAGCTTTGCCTGTACTTATCATACTCTTTAAGATAACTATTACCTAAACAGCCATGCATGTCTAACCTTTATAATTGTAAAACAGAACTTCTAATTGAAGAAGGCAGCTCTATCTCTTCTCTTTCTCTGAAATTCTGTGCACAAAATGGCAAGGAACATAAGAATAGTGAGATTACGTTTCATTTCCTCCTTCAAAGGTTTAGTCTCTACCATTGCAGTTGTTGGCTGCTGCTGCTTCTTTTTCTTCACTTGTTTTAACCTCAGTGCACATGGTGGTTCTTCCACTCCCCATCACCGTAAAGTAAGTATTTTTACTCTGCTATAAATCTGCAGGAAACAATTTGTTCAAGACGAAGTGTAGAAAAATGTAGAGAAATATTTTCATTTGAACTGTTAATGAGATCACTAACATATTCATGTATTCATTAGGTTTTAGGTCTCGAACAATATGAATTTAAAGCAGGGAGACATCCACTTTCTCTGACGCCAGAACCTATTAAGGTTCAGTTGAATCAAATTAAGGAGTCGATGGTTATTCACAGTAGTGTGGTGTTTTTATATGGTTCTTTAGCCCGGAAAATAAAGCTTGAGAATTCCAAGATTGCTAGGAATTTTGCCGAGATTTCGATGAACTTCACAGATCTCATTAAAAAGGCCTCGTACCAGGATGCTTTAAATCCTAATGCAACATTAATGGTGGACAAATTTTTGAAGGAGGCGAAAGATCAAGTCAAGTTTTCTAAGCAATTGATCTCTGAAGCAAAACTGTATTTTGATAATCAAATCAAGATTCAAAAACTGAAGGACACAATTTTTGCCTTGAATGATGAGATGGCAAAAGTGAAAAGAACAGGTGAGTTCTCAAAATCAATTGCTACAAAAGCAATCCCAAGAAACTTGCATTGCCTTGCATTGCGGTTGATGCAAGAGAGGATTGAGAATCCCGACCGATACGTTAACCAACAGACAGCGCCTCCGCCGGAGTTTGAAGATCCAAGTCTTTACCATTATGCTATATTTTCAGATAATGTTCTTGCAGCTTCGGTGGTGGTGAATTCGGTGGTGCGAAGCGCAAAGGAGCCATGGAAACATGTTTTACATATTGTGACAGACAGGACTAGTCTCGCAGCTATGCAAGTGATGTTCAAGTTGAAAGACCACAACGGCTCGCACATTGAAGTGAAAGCAGTTGAAGATTACAAATTTCTGAACTCATCTTATGTGCCGGTGCTTCGACAACGAGAATATGCAGAGTTGCAAGGATATTATTATGGGAATGGACTCGAAAATTCGACAAATGCCTCTACCAATTTAAAGTTCAGGAACCCCAAGTATTTATCTATAATGAACCATTTGCGGTTTTATTTGCCAGAAATGTATCCAAAGTTGCACAAGATTTTATTTTTGGATTATGATGTAGTGGTCCAAAAGGACTTAACATAGTTGTGGGAGATTGACATGGATGGGAAAGTAAACGGGGCGGTCGAGACATGTTTCGGGTCATTCCATCGATATGATAAATACTTGAAGTTTGATCATCCTTTGATTCGTGATACGTTCGATCCCCAGGCATGTGTATGGGCTTATGGAATGAACATTTTTGATTTAGATGCCTGGAGAATAGAGAATTGCACTGAAAAGTATCATTATTGGCAAGAGCTGGTAAATACTTAGTGATCTTCGTTTTTTGCTGTTGACTTGGGGACTTAATTATTTTTTTCCTCTTCTGATCTTGATCTTGCTATTGTTGCAGAATGGGAATCGAACCTTATGGAAGTTGGGGACATTGCCACCAGGTTTGATCACATTTTATTCCACAACAAAGCCACTGGACAAGTCATGGCATGTTCTGGGGCTAGGCTATAACTCTAACCTTAGCGAGGAGAAGATTCAAAATGCTGCAGTTGTTCACCATAATGGGGATTCAAAACCTTGGCTTGCCACTGCCATTGCCAAGTACCAGCCAATTTGGACAAAGTATGTAGACTATGATTTGGAATTTTTTCGATCCTGCAATATTGGCCCTTAACGAAATGGTCATCTATATCTTAAGCCTCCATTGATTTAAACAAGCATTTTTTTGTGATTTCTATTTTATTTTGAATCGTTTGTGGAATATTAAGCATGTTAAATCTAAATTCTTAGTTGGATTTTTGGATCCACCCCCAAGTTCTCATTCATCTTGTTTCTCATTTGTTTTTTCATCCTTTATATTATTTGTTTGTTAACAAGCAGGATAGGTGAATCAAACACAAATTAAAATTAAAATTAAATAGATATGTCGTGGATTTCCAAAACTAGAAAGAAAACATCATATTTTGGACTGTTAAATTAGATGTAATAAATGGGGAAAATTTTATGATTCTACATCAACTTCTGTCGCTTGGGAAGTGGGTTCTGAGAGTGTGCGTTGGCTGATGAAGTTAACATCCGCGGGTTGCTGAATCCTGAACATGAAGGAGCTGCTGTAGAATTTGACATGAACTGCAATAGATGACTCATATTATTTGATGATGATGAATTTGATGCCCTCAAAACAGAAGAAATTGGATTTGCATCTGGTTTCTGATGATTAGCATATGCAGTCACGTCTCCTTTAGTAGAATCTGGTAAAATATTGGTAGGTCTCTGATGGGGAGGAGGATTTCGCCACCTAGGAAGTGGTCCTGTTATGAGAAGAGATTGAAGTAGGGGACCAGCATCCATCACAGCTTGGGAGAGTTTTCCATTCTGAGGCAGCACCTTTCCTTGAGCAAGATAATCAATCACTGCAATGGCCCTATCATTCTCAACATTGTTCAGCACTCCTGAAGAGCCTAATCCAGTGAATTTTGACCCAATGTGCTGTTCATGAACAAAAGGCTGATTCAATGACCCCATATTGCTCGGTCCTGCCAAGTTCTTGTTTGGGAAATCAGGAGATGAAGCAGCATCAAAGAAGGAGTCCACAGAAGATGAACAATATGACAGGTGGTTGTATGCTTCAGAATTGGATTCCGATTTGCAGAGGTTTGCTTTCGGAGGCATGTTTAAGATGGGGCTTTCAGGTTGGACTTGAGAAAGAATCTGACCAGCTGTTCTAGAAGACATTGACTTGTGAATCAATTTTTGTAGCTGATCTCTTGCTCCATCTCTTTCCTTGTAAGCATTTGCTAATTGATTGAGCAAATGCTGCACAGTATCCTTATGTTCACGCAGCAAATGCTGTACAGTATCCTTATGTTCACGCAGTGTCACATTTGCCTTCATTTTCATTTTCTGCAGTTCAAGATTTGTGTACAATAGCTTATGTTTCAGGTCATCCATGCTCTGCCAAAAAATCATAGCAGGTACTTTAGCACATGACAGAAGAACAAAATTTTCAAGCAGTTTTTAACCCTGTCAGAATCCAGATAAAAAAAAAAAAAACCAGCCTCATAGTTTCCCGGTGGGCATACCATAAACAGTTGTCTGTAAGGAATCCATATGACAAATCAACTATTTCTAGGCATGCAGGAATGGTACAAGTAGTAGAAATCTATGATATGCTGTCATGTCAGAAATTCAATCCATCACTTAAGGCCATAATTGATCAGTGAATATATTCAAACAATGACATTATCAAGAAATTTGCACTTAGAAAGATTAAAAGCCATTATATTATGCCATAATCAAATAGCAATGGTAAAAAAAAAAAAAATTCAAAAACAACACAAGAAAGATATCTATCCATACAAGACTAGTGTGGTGCATGATATGCACATGAAATCTAAAGGGACAAAACATCAATTAAAGACAAGTTCAACTCATGAAATCATTTTGTTAATCTGAAACTGATCGTCCTATGGATTGACTTTAAAATAAAACATTCGAAACCTTTATATTTTTTAAATCAAAAAAACAGACTTAAGTCTTGTGGTGGCCATAAAGAGATATGAGAATCACTTTAGTAAGTATAAATTGATTCTAAATTCAAAGATTCTAAGCTCCTACGCTCTTAGCATCGAGAAAACGAGACCTAAGCTTTGTAGTGATTACAACGAAACATGAGAAGTGAGATTTGAACTGAAACTTTTCATCAATCCATGAAATGTAAAGGGACAAAACATCTAACTAAAGACAAGTGTTCAATACATGAAATCCAAGTATAGAATGCTAAATATAAATGTCAAACACTCTCTTCATTGTAAAGATTACAGCTATTGAATGCAAAATATAACAAGTAGTAGAGATCATAAAATGAAACATTGAAGAGACTCACCTCATAATCATAGAGAGCAGTCATTTCCTCCATAAGGATGATTCACTGCTCAAAAATTTTCACTCAAAAGATTTTCTTTTTTGAAGAGATTTGATGGCTTTTGTAGCCAAGGGAACAACTTAATGTATGTCAAATCCTTCCATCGTACGAAAAAAAGCATTCATTTTCCCTCTCTTCCACGATTCTCTTAAGGTGATTTTGTTACCATTTAAGTGTGTGTGAAAGGTTAAGACACACTCATATGGAATAGATGAGGGAAATTTATTGCCCATTAATTCATTTGTTTTTGGTTGGTCTTAGCTTCTTACCATGTTTTTATTATGGAAAAAATAAATTATTAACCCTAGATATTTTTGTTAATTTTTAAAACGGATGAGGCAATTTCCTAATTAAAAAAATTCTGCAATAAAAACGAAATCTTACTACAAATTGACTCGGGAAGCAATTAATTTTCTCATCCTACAAGAACTCTATCTTTTTTTCTTTTTTAAAGAATAAGAACTCTATCTATTTACTACTTCATAAACGGCAGATTTAAGACTGTAACAATAACAACAAATGATCCTATCAGTCTTTTTTTTTCGATTTTCACAGCCACAAAATTCTACATGATTATTTCCTCAATAATTTTTATTTTTCTTTTGTGGCCTAGCAATTCCAGTGACCAGTCTCTTTCTTTCTTTTCAAGTTCTTAATTGACATTTTTAACTATTTTTTTCCTCCTTTCCACACAGCATTTTCATTCTTTTGCCTCATCGCGATTTTTTTAGTAGAAATTCACAAATAACAATCATTTAATCAAGCACTTTTATGCCAAAACTTGGTAGCAATTAGTTCATAAGATGATAAATTAGATTAGAATATCCAAGCACTTATTATATGAAATGGTCTTAAACTATGATTATGACGTTAATGAGACATTTTTGTGTTAGTAATTTTGGAACTCTAATGAAACCCAATTTAGACCCTATATTTGCAGTTAATTATAACCTAGTTCTATGTTTTATAGAATCTAATTAATTACTTCTTATAGCATAAAAAATAATTAGATTTTTTGCTCCATAAATGTTGTCCATCCTCAATTTAGCAGTTCTTTTTTTTTCCCCAAAAAAATTCCTTCTTCCCAAGTAAATTTTACTTGCCTCGCCAATAAATATTAGATTTTTGGAAAAATACATTAGAAAAAGATTGACGAAGGGCTAAATGGATTAAGAAACATAGGATTTAAACACATTGTTTCTAAAACTACAAGGACTATTTCACCATTTTTTTAAAATTAGGGACTAAGCTATAATTAACTCAAATTCCTTTAAAAAAAAAAAAAAACTAATTAAATTAATGGTCTTTCTATCTCCAACCTTGGACTAGGGCTTCTTCATCTGAAACCATCAGGTTTATTTTAAAGCCGCCGCCATTATTTTCTCTGCTAACCCGAAAAACAAGACCTTTCCATTCCTTGACATCAACAGCAACAATGGAAGAGACTGACCAAACCCCTCCATCTGAAGAGATGCAGTCCCTCTCTGTCACCCCTTCAGCGTCATCCTCGTCAAATCCCACTACACCCCAGTAATCATTTTCTATCTATATCTGTTTATTTGATCAAAATTTAACTTTTTCTGTGTAAAGGTTTAGTCTTTCTTGGATTTTTTTTTTTAATGGGTTTTGATTTTCAGGTTTTTGAGTTTAGAGGAGAGATTTCAACTTGTGAGAAGTGTTGGTGAAGAATGTATCCAAGAAGATGAACTACGTAATCTTCTTGAGAAAAAACCACTACCCATTTGTTATGATGGTTTTGAACCTTCTGGGAGAATGCACATTGCTCAGGTATTTTCTTTTTTGTTTTTTCAGTCCTGTTTTTATTTGGATCCTCAATGTATTTTTCTGTTAGTAATGAAAATTTAGTCTACTTCGGTCGTCCTTATTGATGATTCTGAGGCTTAGAGGTTACATCTTTTTGGAAGAGTTATCATTTAGCTATTGATTAAGGAACTGTGAAGTAGTATTGATTTCAATTTTTAGTATTACTTTGTCAGCCTTAGGCATTTACTATTAATTGTGCCTCAGCCATGACTTAGGTTTTGCCTGTAGTTGGGCAGCTTATGTTTAGAGCTTTGGTTAAGTCTGGTTCTATTATTTATACTTTTGCTGTTACTGAACAGGGAGTTATGAAGACAATAAATGTCAACAAACTGACTAAAGCTGGTTGTAAAGTGAAAATTTGGATTGCCGATTGGTTTGCGCAGCTTAATAACAAAATGGGAGGAGACTTGAAGAAAATTAAAACGGTGGGAGAATATCTTATTGAGATATGGAAGGCAGTTGGGATGGATATTGATGGTGATAAAGTGGAATTCCTGTGGTCTTCAGACGAAATTAACTCCAGAGCTCATGAATACTGGCCTCTTGTTATGGATATAGCTCGCAGGAACAAGCTTCCTAGGATAATGAGGTACTTTGATAGAGCTTGAAAACCGGACGCTTCCATATTATGTGATTCTACAGGGAACTCATAAAAATTGCATTTTGGTCCTTAGATGTGTTCAAATCATGGGCCGCAGTGAGCAGGATGAGTTAACGGCAGCCCAAATTTTCTACCCATGCATGCAATGTGCAGACATATTTTTCCTCAAGGTGCTTATACTTGTAAATCTGAGTTTTGAATTTTTGAATCAATTTCTTCTGCCTGTGCAATTGTACTGGCATTTTTATCTTAAGTTACTTGTGCTTATATAATTGTAATTTTTTAACCAATTGCTTCTATTCTTATGTACAAAATTCTCCAAAAATCACTTTCAAATGACATTTATTAAACAAATAAAATATTCTCACTAATGAAATACTTTTCTATTAGGCATCATGCTTGTATAATTCTATGTTGCAGCATCCAACAATATAAATAACTCACTAGATAATGTGACTGAAATGATGATTTATTATGAATACCGTTTTTAGGTTATCTTTCTCTTGCATTACTGCATCATATTATTTAGCTGTTAACTACAATGGTTTTGTATTAACAGGCAGACATTTGTCAATTGGGCATGGATCAACGGAAAGTGAATGTCCTTGCAAGAGAATACTGCGATGACATCAAGAGAAAAAACAAGCCTATCATTTTATCTCATCGTATGCTTCTAATTCCTCTATTCGAAACGTGTATGATGATATTGTTAAGTTTCTTAAATGAAGTACATTTTGAGTCCGCTTTTCATGAATTCAGACATGCTGCCTGGTTTACAGCAAGGGCAAGAAAAGATGTCAAAAAGTGATCCATCTTCTTCCATCTTCATGGAGGATGAAGAGGTATGTTCTAGTTTTATACATGGAAAATTTAAAAAACGTTGCAATTTTTGGGGAATTTGCATGCCTGAAAATATAAAGATTCCCTGCAAATTGCAGCAGTGTCTTAGTTTACTTTTACATTTTATGCCTTGTTTTTTTATTCTTTTTATCAACTGTGTCTTAGGTAGAGGTAAAAACTAAGATAAAGAAGGCATATTGCCCCCCGCAAATTGTTGTGGGCAATCCTTGTCTGGAATACATCAAATACATTGTCTTCCCATGGTTCAACGAGTTTAAGGTGGAACGCAGTCCAGAAAATGGTGGTGAGAAGTAAGTTCTATTACCTTCCTATTGCTTCATTATTGCGTGTTTTTGTATTTTCAGGAAAAGTGCATCTCAGCCAGTTCTTGCATTCATGATCCATGCTGTTTTATTTCTTGAATGTTGGAAACTTCGTTATTGTCACTTCATTTTTTTTTTAACAGTTCACTCTTTATATGGATGAATATGACAATTATTTTCCCACATGATTTTATGTACTTGGTTTATGCATTTGTGTAGAATCTACAAAACCTTTGAAGAACTTGTAGCTGACTATGAAAGTGGCGGACTACATCCGGCTGACCTTAAACCTGCTCTTGCAAAAGCATTGAATACAATACTGCAGGTAAGCCTCTCTTTGTGTGTGGGAAAAAAATGGTGGCTTTACTTGGTAGACGAATCTTTTTTTCAGCTCATATCCTGATTGTTCTTGACCAGAACTTTTAAGTCAGACTCGTGCCTTACCTTCCTCTCTATTATGTCATTTGGTACTTTTATTTTCGTCAAATTGGGGGACCTTGAGTCCATAACAATTAGAAACACTACCAGTAGTTAGTTGATACTGTATACTCTGTCCTAATGCAGTCAGCAAGCTAATTAAATAAATCTTTTGCAGCCCGTACGTGATCATTTTAGCAAAGATCCCAAGGCTAAGGATCTGTTGAAACGAGTCAAGGTTTGTGTGCTTTTTCTTCTTTGTTATTTTTCAGCAAAACAGGCACAACCCAGTGAAGGGAAAAAAGAAAAGCAAAAATAAAAAAGAGAAAAATGTAAATTGGGCATGCTATTCTTTTTATTGCATGCTTCATAGTCCTCTTCTTTTCCTATCCGAAATTGATTTTTTGGTGCTCCAATATGCAGGGTTACAGAGTAACAAGGTGATGCGGAACAGAATGTGATTTCCTTTTAGTTATGCTCAGAAGTACATGGATGCAGAACTTGGAATTATATTTCCAGTACTCCTAAATGTTAATTCTTATATACTTACTTGATAAAGATTGTTATTCATGTTTTGGGGTTATTTTTCAGATTTTGAGAGTTGAAACCAATCAATGCCAACCTTGTATTTATAAGAACAACTTGAATCTGCGGTGCAAGCCATCACAGAATCCAGATAATAATTTGATAGCATTGCTTTTTGTCTCATTTTTCTCCCTTTCTTTATGTGCATGTTCAACTACAGATGCAAAATGCCACGAATCTGTTCAGCTCAAAGTAAATTTCTAGCTGAAATATAGTCCTTATGTATAAACGAATAATCCTGACTTGGCTTGAAATCAGTAAAATTTGCATTGAAGGACAGGAAGAAGGTTATAGCTTACAAGTCCATAAACAACATTTCAAGATAAAAGGTTTGGTGTCTATAGATTCGAAGCACAAAATATTACTTAGAATTTCATTTTCTCTTTCCCTCATTCCATATTTGC